TCCATTTAACAAAGTTATTTTGAGGCTGACCCCAAGTCTCACAAAATTTACGCAAGAATCGGGCCTTTTGGCTAGCCGGAGAATGCTTTGACCCAGGCGGTGTTGGACACGGTCCGAAGGGCATCATGGGGAAAAAATCAAAAACGGCTCATTTGCATCTGACCTTCGCTCTGTTCACATCTCTCGTTACGCCATAAAATTACCGGGAGAAATAGTGTGATATGGACATTACAGGTCTTCTTCCGCTTTTAAAGGACGTAACATGCGATGTTCATTTGAGATCTTTCTCCGGGAAGGTGGCCGCAATCGACGTTTACTGCTGGCTTCACAAAACTGTTATTTTCTGTGTCGAAGAGGTTGATTTTGGGATCGAAGCAACGCGGTACGTATCAACACGTCGTTCTTACATGTGCCTAGAGTGCTTGATTTTGAACGTAAGCTTCTCTTTAGCGCTCTTCTCACCACAGATTTTTTTTCCAGGTACATTGACATGTGCAAGAATGATACTGATCTTCTCATCGAAAATAATGTGCAACCTATTCTGGTTTTCCAGAAGAAGCTGGAGAGCAAGGCAAATGTGGCATCCTCCTCCGCTAACTTGTTGTTGTTGAGGACAACAGCAAGTTAGCGGAGTTTTTCTAGTCATTTTTTTCCGTACGAATTCAGTTTTATCTGTTCGTTATTTTTTGTATGATTTATTAGGAACCATGAAGAATCTCGCACAGAAGGTTTAACTCTTTACGGACAAGGGCAGAAGGAAGAAGCCAAGGAACTATTCAAAAAGGAGGGCCTAAGGGCCGCTTCCATGACATATATATTACAAAAAAAATATCATATTTTTAAAGACGAATAAAAAGGAAATGAAAGAAAGTATTCTGGGCTGATCGTGTAGTGAAAGTATTCTAAGCTGGTTCGATCGTGACCGCGCGAGTATATTTATAATACGAAAGATGCCGCGGAATGGAGTCACGATTCACGCACGTAGGTAAACTTCAAGTGGCATTTTGACCCGTAAAACGGCGGGGCCCGCTGGGGCCCGCCGACCATTTCAGATTCTTGAACAACAAAACTAATAGATTATGCTAAAAATGGAGGTCAGAGGTCGTTGAACACAGAGAAGATATAGACTGAAAAGCATAAACAATAGCTCTTAACTAAACAAAGGGATTATTCGCAGGAAGAATTACAACGAACAATATCAATAGAAAACAAGCATACATCATATTGTTATAAGAACTGCGGCTTGCTACATCTGTCTACTCAAACTTTTCCACAAAAAATTATCGTAAATCACTTGATAAACGGCGAAAATCGAAGAAAATCGAAGACACTACCCGCACAAAGGTGAAAGAATCAGTCCGCCATCTGCAATGATGTGATTAGACAAAATTGGTCACGTGGACCGTGTCCAACACCGCCTGGCTTTGACCTGTACACAACGGGACCACAGTGTTACACTAACACTGCTATTTAAATGAAACGGTGTTACATTCACTTTGCATGATAAAAATAATTAATATCTATGTCGAAGTTAACTACAGTATTTTAAACATCTGTTTTAAAGTTTTACGCGTAGCTATTGTTTGTTTCTTTGAACTATTTCTCGTTTGCTTTCATTTAATCGTACAAAGTCGTGATTCATTTGTATATTTCATTTACTTTTCATTTATATATTTATTTGAGAAGCAAAATTTTACTTTTACTCCTTTTTGTAATAACATCAAAATGGACACGATGATCCGCGAACGTGAGTCAAAGCCATTTCTATTTTTCGATTGGGATCATTTGCGGTCCAAAACATTTGTGGATCACTTACGGTCCACATTGGGACATTTGCGGTCTGCGGTACTGTACAGAATATCATCAGCAATCGCTGTGCATCCCACTAGACTTGCCCTGCCAATGCTTGATCGAGTCTTCGTTGAAACTCCTCAGGCGTAGGTGAAATGCCGAATGGAATCCTGAGCCACCTATATTTTCCCATGCCGGGGTTTTACACAGCTTCTATCTTAATCAAAGGTAATGTGTCAGACCAGAGATTCGCATCTAACACAATGAAGCACCTTGCATTTGAGTGGTTGGGAAGAGCATCTTCAATTGGTGGCAGAGGGCGTCGTTCAGTTGCTTAGGATCCACGTACTACCTGATGCTGCCATTTTTCTTCAAGGTGATGGCGGTTGCAGATATCCACGCAGTAAGGATATTAACTGTTTGGATGATGTTAGCCGCTTCCAAGCAGTTTAGCTCTTCTTCGAATTCTTTCTTTGATGAAAATTGGCACCTTACTTGTGAGAAGCTGAACCGGCGTAACTGTTGTGTCGATCTCTACGTATAGGTCACTTTCTAGCATTCCTTTCCAATTGATTAGCCTTCACTGCAGGGGTGCGAAAACAGGCACAAGGAAAACACGGAATATATCACAAAACTCATTTACCCCAGACAATTTGTAATATAGTGAATATCAATGAAATAAAATTGTTTATATGTACATGTAATGTACTTTTTGACCCTTAATCGGTTCTGAATGTTAATCAACCTGGCTTTTGTTCTTCTTCAGAGGAGGCCTTTGGGATCTTTCGAGCCTACATTTAACGTCGCTTCTGTGTGGGAAGCTGGCTACACTGGTAAAGGAATTCTTGTGGCAGTAGTTGATGATGGAGTTGATGGCAGCCATCCTGAACTACGTTCAAATTATGTAATTTTACTCTAATTTATTTTTCCCATGTAAACTATCAAATTGTTGTTAAATGCATGGACTAAGCGAAAGTTGTTAGAAGCTTGGTTGCCAATACCATGGGTACATGCACCTTAAGGTGGGGTCTGCTTAGATCTATAAGCTTCACCAAATATTAATTTTCTAACTAATGAATTAGTTATAATAAGTGATCAAAATCAAGTGACGCTATAGACTATAGTAGCTTGTCCTTGGATTTTTTCTAATAGTTAACATGACTGAATGTAATTTATTTAAACTTCCAATTCAGTGAATTTGTTATTATTTACTCTTTGATTTACAGTTGTTGATCTCTCTATTCGTAATTGCTAATTAAAATATAAGTTGTAAAGTATATTTTTAAGGACCTAGTATAAGGCGACTTAGAACTAAAACTGATCGTAAATTAAAATTAAATTCATTCCGCTAATGCCCGGATTATTTAATCATCGAAGGAATCGGTTTTCCAGTAATGAATGAATTCGACGGTTAACAGCAGGAAAACTTGGCCGGCATTGACTGTCCTTATTGTAAATACCTAGTAGTATTGTTGCATTAACTAAGAGGGAACAGTAATGCTGCTTCATCAAATTGTGCTGTAATTGATGATAAATGTTTGTGAACCGCCATCTTAATTTGTTCGTTAAGCTAGACTGGCATCATTATTTTTAGTATTATTGTTTAGACGTGTTTGTTCATTACGTTTGGTCTGTAATAATTGTTTTTCTTCTTTAAACATGTAGAATTTGACAGCAAGTTATGATTACGTTGATGGAACTCCAGTTCTTTTTGGGAAACCAGTGCCAGGGTAAGTGGCTGCTTCGTTCCTCTCAAGATTATCACTATTTGTTACGGTTGAACCTCCTTTAAGCGGCCACTTGCCGTTACTCCAAGTGTGGCCGCTTGATGGTGTTGGTCACTTTGAAGTGACTGTTAAAATAGAGGTTCTTCAAAAATTATCATAGCCGGGCGTCAGCGCGGGCGCAGCGGAGCCCCATGGCTAAAGAAAATTGGAAACCTATGAATTTGATCCGAGAAAACTTGGTTATGACGTCAACGTACGCTCTTAAGACCGTCCGTACAGACGCTGAGGGTAGGGGTAAAAAACTCAGTAGGGTACGAAAGATGGCAACCAACGGAGCTGCTCTAGTGATGTTTCTTGTGCTTGACTAACGACAAAATTTTGCGAAAAAAAAATTATAATGCTTTGCTTTTTGCTTGATTACGCTTTTGGTCACGCCTCAGGGGCAACCTTGTCTCCCCCACCCCCCCCACCTTTGGTCAAACTTTTGACAGGTGAATTCGTGGGTGAAAACTTATGCAGCATCCAGAAATTTCTTCGCCGACAGACTACATGCCAGCAACTGAAGCATTTTTCATTTCAGTTGATTATCGAGTTCTTGTACTGCCGCCGCAAAATGAAATACACCTACTTTCAAGATTCTTTGTCCGTTTTTCAAAACTGAATTGTTTATTTGGTTTTTCGTCGAGGAATGTGTAAAAGGGATTCATCCATGGTTGCTTTTTTGCTGGTTTTTGACAATTTGATGCAGGGCACTACGGTGGACTACTGGAAGATTCCTTTAACCTTTCAAATTATTAACTGTTCGTGGTCTTCCACTGCCGCCACAAAATGAAATACAGTTGGTTTGTTTATTTGGTTTTTCGGTTGAGGAAGGCCACGCCACTGGATTCAACGAAAGTGAATGTTGAACATGCAGGCTTTCGCAGCAGAGTACAGGAAAGGTTTCTGATAACGTCCCTTATGATGCATGTTTTGTTTTGTTTTTTTGTTTTTGTTTGGTTGTTTCTTGTTGTTATTGTTTTTTTGCAATGATGTAGCCCGGTTAAGATGACGTTATCAGCAGTTTTCGTGGCTCCAACAATGTTTATGCCCTTCCTTCTCTGTGACCACGGTGCCCTGTCTTCCAACAATTGCTACACCTTATCTGCTGTATGTTTATACCACTTAAAGCTTGTTTGTCAATTGTCTGCCATGCGTAGCTATCTGATGTGTTTAAATGTGTAGTGTATACACCGAAAGCAAATATGGCGGATCTCCCGGTCGGCCCGGGTCTAGTTGCGCGAAAGCGAGGCTAGTGAAGCCTCGGGAGTTTTGTTTTGACTGTGCGTGTTAGCGATTCAGTCAATCAATTTGGTTTCCTTCGAGTTGTTACGTGCTTAAGAGCCATCAAAGAGGAGATTTAACTCCAGCAGAGACGAAAAGTTGATTATCTTCGCGTTGCCAAGGTTCTTTACGAAGAAAGAAATAGATTCAAGCGGTTCGGCGCGGCGAATGGAGGCACTTTTCTATCACGGAGTTAAAAGAACGAAAGCGTGCTCGCTTCACTTCAGAAGAGAAGACTCACGAAACTATTAGAATGGGCGAATAACTGAAAGATTCATGGTTCTGTTTCAAGTTTGCTTTGTCCGTTCTCTTGCCAAGGAAAGGTAAATATCCTCGAGAACGAGTGAATCCGCCGTCGCGACTTACCAATGGTTAGACGCTCTCAGGGACAGAACGACAGACAACAAGGCCGAATGTTTTCACAATCTTCACGATCCTGTGTTCAAGAGTTTGAGCAGTGCCATAAAAGAAGCAATTTTTGGAAAATCGCTGTTAGTTTATCTCGAAACCATTCGTTAAGTTGCTAAAATAGATCACGCGCAAGGTCAAATACAATGCTCGAATACTTGCACGCTCTTTCTCTCCCAGAACCTTTTTCCTTCTTCTTACTTTCTTAGTTGGCAACAGTTCCTCTGTTAGTTTTTTCAGTGCACTTTGGTCAAGGACTGTTCTTGAAATATGTGGCTTTCTTCTGGTTCTTACATAGTTTCACAGGCCATGCTTGTAGGATTAACAGGCGATTGTTATTGTTGTTGTTATATTTTGATGCAGCTGTTTTCAGCGTGAAATCTAAAAGATCTTACAGTCCACAGCGGATGCTCCCATTCTCGAGAATGTTTACCTTTTGTTGGATAAATAGCAGACCATGCAAACATCTTGGACCAGCACCATCTCTTGGGAAAATTACTTCATTCAAATACTTTCGTGACTCCTCTCATCTAAAGGAAGTGTTCGAGCACACTTTCGCTGTAAAGTACGTCCCATCGCCGCACCAAATCGCATGAATCCTTAACTTTCTTTGTGAAAAGATCTCGGGAAAGTAAAGGCTATTCCAGCTAGAGTAAAATCTTCTTTTTGGTGGCCCTCAGGCATGCAACAACTCGAAGCAAACCATATCGATCGACTCAATCGCTAAGGCGCGCAGTCAAAATAAAGCTCTTGAGGCCTCACGTGCACTAGCCTCGCTTTCCCGCAACTAGACCCGGGCCGGCTGAGAGGTCCGCCATATTTGCATTCGGTGTATAAGCTTTCCGACTCGTACATAGATAAGTGTCAGTGCACAGCTATTATACACAGTCTTCTTCCTGGATCTAGCAAGTTAAGCTAAGTTTAAAACAACGTCGCTTAAGTTGCAGGCAATGACGAAAAGGGTCTAGGTAACTCTTGAATGATTGGCAGAACTGTTGTTTATTTAGAGCGATTTTCGTGTGACCTTGGAAAATGGTTTTGGTTAGTGTTCGTTATTTGTTTTATCAGCCAGTGGATGAAAAGATCAAAACATGGCCTCTTCGTTTTCCCTCCAAAGAAAACCCTAAAATGGAGAAGGCATTGTTCGATTGGCCAATCGTGTTGCAGTATGACGTCAAAGCGAAGTATCGGTTAATTTCTTGGCCTGAATTTCAGACGATTACTTCGAGTCGCTTTTACTCCCTCAGTAACGTCTGAATCGACCGGCCGTTAATGCCGTCCAGTGACGTCACTACTCCTTTGCTTTAATTCATGCAAAAAGTAAAACACGATTTTTAAGTGGCAAACCAAGAAATATCGTTTGGAAATGTCTACATGATACAGAATTGCTTTACTCTTTTCGATCGCAATTCATGTTTAACGCTCAAACTGTCAACTGCATGCAGTACTCTGAACCGGATATAATTCAATAATCAAACTCGATCGCAATCAGGCAATGAAATAAATACACCTGCACGGACCACTTAGTTCAAAAACACAACGATTTGCTTTAATTGAAAAGAAGCTATTTGGTCCTTAACGAAGAAGAAAGAAAACAAGGAAACAAGAAATTACACTCGACGGTGGAAATGACAAGAGGTCGAATTATAACTGATTTTTATCTAAGGACTTCGCATAAACAAAATCACTGTCGAAACCACAAAGCGGCGGAAAGCGGCTCCAAATGAAAAACCGACTCTCCGCTATGATTCTTCATTCGTAGTTCAATTTAGCAATTTAGTTTTGGAGGTAAGGGTGATTTTGCTGTTTACGATGAAGATTGTCGAAATGTTTGAACTACACGCAAGCATGCCAGGGATACGATCCGCTGAATATCAAATGATAATCCCGCTAAACAATTATGCGAATGTTTAGCCAATCAACCAATCAAAATCACTACCTGGTTTTCGGGTCATAGTGACTTCACTAGACGGCATTAACGGTCGGTCGATTCAGAAGTTGCTGAGAGGAGAAAACGACTCGAAGAAATCGGATGAAATTCAGGCTGTTGATTTCTAGAAAGTTTTCGGGCGTGAAGGTTTTTCGCCCAAGCGTTCCGTTAACGAACCAAAAGCCACGCGCGTTTGAATCCGTTCAATTGGTTTTGTTTTGTTCGCGCGTTTTCATTTCAAGGTCATACGAAAACGGCTCTATATTCACTTGCGGGTTCTTAATAAGATGCCTGGTTCTTGGATTTCGTGATTTAGCTAGAAACCAATAAGGCTATTCAAGACAAAAACAGCGGATAACTGCATCTTTTCTTGGAGAGCGGATAGTCCGTAATGAGGTACCGCTGAGGGAACAGTTTGGCTCTCTAATAGCGGAGCTACTTGCGCGCGCGAAGCGCGCTCGAGCGGAGCACCATAACTAAGATAATTTGGTAAACTATCCATCCGAGAAATTTTGGTTATGACGTCAGCGTACGTCCGTCCGTACGGACTTTCCGGGTAGTGGAAAGTAGTCCGCGTGGACTCTTGGGGTATGGGAAAGTAGATTTTTTGGCGGGAAATCGCACGGCGCAACGTCGCGCAATTATATCGGGCAACTTGTTTTGAAAAACAAACTTCAAAGCAACTTAGCAAAAAGATTTTTCGACTGAGCCTTTATAACTTTTTATTACAACTTTCGAAAGCTATTATGGCAACAAACAACAGCAGAGAGATTTTAGCGTGTAGACGACAGGTTTTAAGCAGAGAGCAAAGAGAAGGTGAACGGCAGAGAGCAAGAATCAACACGCGTAGAGCAAGCGAAGACGATCGCCAAAGAGAGCGCGTTAGAAGTAGAAGAAGAAGACGAATTTTTAGCGAAGGAAGTCGGCAAGTAGAAAGAGTCAGGGCGAGAAGAAGGAGAGAAAATTATAGTGAAGAACGCCGGCAAGCAGAACGAGACAGAGCTAGAATGAACAGACAAAGGCAACACGAAAGAGAAATACAAAGGCAAAGAGAACGGCAGCAAAATAATGACATGATGACAGAAAGTGTCGTGTTAATGTCACTATGGCCCCGCGCTATTAACATTCTGATTTCAAACTGATCTCGGACGCGAAAATTCAGCCAGTCATTTAAAAATGCAAGCAGGGAAGACAGAGGCTTTTCACTTTTCTCACCATAGTCACGCGTTGATCACGCTCTACGACCTCCAATTTTTATACTCTGATTGGTCAAAATTTGATAGGTGAGTTCATGCAGAAAATTTATACAGCATCTTGAAACTTGTTTACTTTGACAGCTGAAGCTTACAGAGTTTTTTTGTCAACTTGTGATGTTTTTTACTGTCTTTTTCCACTGGATGCATAAAATTTCTCTCCGCAAATAGAAAGAAAAAACGTTCCGAAGAGTATTTAGTTATAATTTTGACTGTAGAAAGAAAGCCTGTCTTGCCTCAAGTTTATCTTTGAAAACAGTTAACACCAGGAAGCCGGCTAAAAGCTTTAAGGCAAGCTTAAGTTTAAAGACTCAGGATTTTTAGAGACGCTTTAATACTTGTCTTCGTGAATGAAAATTGTTGTCTCTGTAAATGTTTCACCGAATTGCATTTCTTTTCTTGATTGTTAGTAGTCTCTTGCAATTCTTGATCGCTTTGCCGTTTGTTTTCAGTCGCTCATAAACATCGCTTGCAGGAGTACTCAAAATGCCGCGCGTATCAAACGCTTTTTAAGATTCCACATCGTTATAAAACCATTATGTAAAAAAATAAACACAATAAATTCTTTATTATGTTGAAGCGTAACTCTTTTAATGTTCACTGAAAATTTGGTGCTTGTCAAAAGTGAGAACCGGCTGGCCCTATAGATGATTTTGGAAATTTTTTGAACGGTTTTGCTAAAAGCCCTCGCTTGCTTCGTACGGTTCTGAAAAAAAAAATGATTGAATGAGTACAATTTGTCTTGAGAAATTGTGAAATACTGCATTTTGTCCGTGGTCTGTATGATAAAAACAGCTCCTCATATTACTGTTTCATCTCAGATGTGATGTATAAAAAGTATGAAATGTTGGTTTACACGCACCCAGATTTGTTGGCAAGATTTTGTTAAGTAAACTTGTCGAAGGCAACAAATTCAGCCTGATTTGTTTTCCAAGAATTCGTTTTCCAGGCCTAATCGACTGTGATCAAGAGCCATTATGGTTCTTAAATGTGATCGAAGATGATTGCTATTTTTTGGGTGTATATATACGGCTATCAACTCGATGTAACAATTTTTTTTCACTCAAACATCACTTAGCCGTAGCTTTCCCTTAACAGTCACATATGTGCCCTTAACTTAACTGTGGCTCCTAGCCAGCCAAGGACCGCGCGGTAGTGTAATTTTCGCGCCCTTTTGGGGTCAGGTGACCAAGCCGTTATTTTTAAGTTGCATGATCGTTAGCTCGGCGGTCAGAGATTACTTCGCTCGCTAGTTCAGCGATGGATTTTGATTTTTCTGGACAAATTTATAATAGGCTCACAAGGTATTAGTCTTTCTTTCGTTTCCTCTTTTATTTGGCTTATTATTTCGCCTGTTGTAATTTTCTAGTTAAGTTTGTATTCGTATTGTTTACTTAGTATATTTCTCGTCGCATGTAGTTAAGATCTTTCAATTGTATTTTCCTTTCTAGTTTTACGTCAACCTTATCTACTTGTCAGTAAAACAACAGCCGTTTTTCAGTGTTAGAATTCACCGCGTTTGAGTTGTTGTCTCAATGTGGTCACAGTAAAACGTGTGCCGTACAAGATTCGAACCGCTCTTGTTGAGAGTTTGGAATCATGGACTGGACTTCCGAAGTTGTGGAGGATGGATCGGATTTGAACTTCGATGAAACAGCAGTCGGGCTAGATTTACCTGGAGTCAGAAGGAGTACTCGCGTTCGCGTTCCTACTGAGAGGGGACTGGATTATCAGCTCCCTCTTAGGAAAAATAATTACAATCAATGTAAGAAGAAATTAGAAGATAAGCTAAACGCTCTGGATATGAGCTGGACGGAGCTGTCCGATGCAGAGGCTTTGAGCAAAGAGAGAACGTTTATAGAAGATTACAGAAAGGCCCTTATGGAGGGATCCTCGGAGTTCGTGCTGCTATTACCAAGCGAATATGCCAATGATGTGGCTCGTGAAACAGATTACTTGAACAGGCAAGCAATGGAGTTGAGGAAAAGGATTAGCGAAAGGATTTTCAAACTGGAAAAGGTGGAATTGCGGTCGCGTCGTAATGGAAAAACGTCATCCTCCAAGAAAAGTAGTCGTTCTTCTAAGCACTCAAGTGCCTCCCAAATTTCTTTAATGAAGATTAAAACTATGACTGAGTTGGCCACGAGGAAGGTGGAAATGCAATATGCAGGAATTGAAGCTCAAACGTAAATGGAAATGCAAAGGAAGAAATTCAAAGATTGAAGAGTTATGAAAGTGCTAAAGCAGAAGCAGATGGGGTGGCGAAGATAGAAGATGAAGAAGGGAACCCCAAGTTGCTGAACCTTGACCAATTCGGGATCACTAAAGACGATAAGGAGGAACGGACTCGCAACTATGTCTCATCTTTAACAACTCTCTCCTCCACCGGCAGTCAGGATCCTTTACCATTCTTGTTTGAACCTTCGGCTAAAGATGAACATCCTTCCATGTCGCCAGAAATGGCCCTTGGCACACAGCTAAACATGGTGCAAGGAACTAGCTCGGATCAAAAGGAAACCCAAGAAAGTGTGCAAGACCTGCCGGGGAAGATTCCGTCTCGTTCAGTACCAAGCGTTGCTTTCACCCAGCCCTTTAGTGGACCTGCCAGCACTGAAAATCAGCACCATGCAATCGCTGAGGCGATAGCGGAAGGCATGGAGGCGGCAAGATTACCGACGCCTCACCTAACAGTATTCAGTGGAGACCCCCTTGGTTGGCCAACATGGAGGGTTGCCTTCGAAACTGTGATTGAGAAAAGGGCTACTAACACGAACGAGAAAATGCTGTACCTTCTGCAGTACTTGTCGGGGCCTCCTAAGAAAATTGTCGAAGGATATCAGTTCGTCCAAACTGGTGACGCTTATGAAGAAGCTAAGAAGATTCTTGAAAGACGATTCCGGCACCCCACTGTTGTTGAAGATGCTTTCCGCAAAAGGTTGGAAGGTTGGCCAAAGATTCCACCCAAAGATGGATCCGCTTTGCGAGAATTTGCAGATTTCCTCAAAACATGTGAACTGGCCATGCAGTGCAAAGAAGATCTTGAAACCCTAAACAAACAGCATGACAATAAGCAGCTGCTAAAGGTTCTGCCTGGCTGGGCACTTCCTAAATGGGGAGTCGGAGTGAGAGACTATCAAATCAAGCACGGTGACAGCAAGTTTCCCCCCTTCTCGGAGTTTGTTAAATTCGTTGCTGAGACTGCAGAAATACAGTGCCTTCCTGTACTTACAAACTTAGACACGAACAGATTCACGAAAGACATCAAGGCCAGAAATCCCAAAACAAGGTTTGGAAGTCGAAAGGGTGATGACGCTAACACGCTTGCTACAGGAGCAAACAAAGGGCCAACACCAAAGGATGAAAGGAAAGCAGCCTGACGTTGCTGTGGTTATAGGTCACATGATCTTGATTCGTGCAGAGACTTCATGTTGAGACCCCGGAATGAGAGAATCCAGTTCATCATAAGAAAGGGACTTTGCCTAAAGTGCTTAACTCATGGTCACATGGCAAAAGAGAACAAGTGTGAAAGTGTTCCAAGTTGGAAGAAATGCAAACAGAAACACCCAACCTGTCTGCACAAGGAAAATGCTAATGAAGCTGAGGTACAAATTCCTAAGGCATCAGTTAGCTGTACAGGCGCCTCCAATGCAGAGATTATCCACCCTGATGAAGGCGATGCTACAGCTAAGTGCACAAGTCTCTGCTCCATTGAAGGTCAGCAGCTCGGACATGACCAAAGCTTGATAGTTCCAGTTTGGGTTTCAAGCTCTAATGATGACCAGTGTGTTCTGACGTATGCCCTGATTGATTACCAGTCAAATGCCAGTTTCATCACAGACCAGTTAAGGGAGACGCTGAAGGTTGATGGGGTAGAAAGTCACCTGCGCTTGTCAACGATGCACAAAGAAGATGAGTTGATCCAATGCAAGAAAGTACAATGCCTCGTGGTAACAGATTTCAAGAGACAGGTTAGCATCCCCTTACCAAAGGTCTACACGAGAAACAGTATACCGTACAAGCCCTCTCAGATTCCAAAGCCTGAGGTTGCCATGCAGTGGGATCATCTTAACCGTATTGCGTCGGGGCTCATGCCTTACAGAGATGATATAGAGGTCGGACTGTTGATAGGAACTAACTGTCCTAAGGCTATTAAGCCACGTGAAGTGATACCAGGAGCAGACCATGATCCATATGGTATCAAAACTGACCTTGGATGGGGTATTATTGGCAGAGTGTGTAAGACTCCACCTGGAGATTATGAAGACTCGCCTGGAAGTTGGACGAACAGAATTGTGTCATGAGAGGAGACAAGCTTTGCCTTGGAGACTAGGACGAAAGAGATCATAAGCCCTGCGTGCGTTAAGCAGATGTTTGAAAGAGACTTTCAGGAGATAGTTGAACCTAAGAATTCACATATGCGAGCCCCGTCAGTTGATGACAGAAGATTTCTAGAAATATTGGTCAAAGGTATCCACAAGACCAGTGATGGCCACTACGAAATGCCGTTACCGCTTCATTCACAAGATGTTAAGCTGCCTAGCAACAAATCTCTAACGTTGAGAAGATTGCTTACGCTAAAGGCGTGTTTCAAGAGAGACCCAAGTTTTCACAAAGATTACACTGACTTCATGGAGGAAACCATTAAGAATTGTGCAGAGGAAGTTCCTTTGGAAGAAAGGTTTAACAGTGCAATCGGAGAAGGCAAGATTAACTACGTTCCACATCATGGGATCTACCATCCCAAAAAACCTTCACAGATAACGATGACGGAGAAATGGAATTTGGCACGAACGCGGCAAACTTTGTGCGTAAAGAATTTTATGTAGACGATGGATTGAAGTCAGTACCATCTGTTAAAACTGCCGTCGACCTCATTCGTAACACACAAGCCATGTGTGCAAAAGCTGGCCTCAGATTACACAAGTTCAGCAGCAATAAGAAAGAAGTCATTCAGGCTGTTGCCCCGGAAGATTGCGCAAAAGGATTACAAGAATTGGACCTCGCGTGTGACCCCTTGCCAATAGAACGAACTCTCGGCATCATGTGGTGTGCTGAGTCAGACACCTTCCAGTTCAGAATCGTTATTCAAGATCGTCCACTTACTAGAAGAGGGATCCTGTCCACCGTGTGTTCTGTATATGACCCACTTGGTTTTGTGGCACCCCTCATTCTGATGGGAAAACAAATACTACAAGATTTATGTCGTAACAACGCCGACTGGGATGACCCAATTGGTGAGAAGCTTAGACCAAAATGGAAACAATGGCGAAACGAGTTGCACGAGCTGGAGAAACTCAAGATACCTAGATGTTACAAACCTGAGGGTTTCGGTGAAATTAAAGAAGTGGAGGTGCATCATTTCTCTGATGCAAGCTTAGCAGGATATGGTCAGTGCAGCTATCTGCGTCTTCTAAATAAGGACAATCAAGCCTACTGTTCCTTTCTTATGGGAAAGGCCCGTGTTGCTCCGTTAAAGTTCATAACAGGTCCTCGATTAGAGTTGCAAGCTGCTGTCGTTTCGATTAAAATAAGTCAATGGCTGCTGAAGGAACTTGATTACCAAGACGTATCAGAATTCTTTTGGACAGACAGCAGGGTTGTGATTGGTTACATCAACAACGAGACTAAGCGCTTTCACACCTTCGTGGCAAATCGCATTCAGCAGATTCATGATCACACCGGCCCTCAACAGTGGCAGTACATTGAATCAAAGTCGAATCCAGCCAATTCCGCCTCTCGAGGCCTTACAGCTCGTCAGCTTGTAGACGATGATTCCAGGTGGGTTAGAGGCCAAAACTTCCTCTGGAGTCCGGGTGCTTATCGAACAGAAGTAGAGGAAAATCCGCAACCACTAGATTCTGACGCCCCCAAAGTGAAGAGAGCATCACTGGTGATGCAAACAAACGAGACACATCCAGTTCATTTTGAGATTAGCCGATTGGATCGGTTTTCCGACTGGTTCAAAGCAAAGAGGGCTATAGCAGTTTGCTTGCGACTTAAACAGCGTGTAAAGGAGGGAAAGGAAGCTGAGCAAGTCGTCAGATACCAACCGGTGAACGTCAATGAAATTGGTCAAGCGGAGATAGAAATTATTCCCTGCCTTCAGCATGAGCATTTTAAGGACGAAATCAAGATCTTGTCATCGCTGCAAGAAAGTGAAGAATTCCATGATAGGAAAACAGCCAAGCAGCGCAACTTCAGCCTCAAGAAATGCAGTAGCTTATACTGACTCGATCCGTTCTTGGATTCAAATGGCATTTTGCTTGTAGGGGGACGCCTTAGAAGGGCCATCATATCAGAAAATGTTAAACACCCTGTTATCTTGCCTAGAAAGTCACATATCACTTATCTTATTCTCAAACACTGCCATGAAGAGACCCAGCATCAAGGTTATGGAATGACACATAATGAAGTGCGTCAACACGGTTACTGGATAATTGGTGGCACTTCTGCCGTCTCTCGTTTTGTTTCTAAGTGTGTCATGTGCAGAAGGCTGCGCCTCCTTCCGCAGCACCAGAAGCTAGCCGACCTTCCTGAAGACCAGAGAGAACCTGCAGCTCCGTTTACATCCAGTGCAGTAGATTACTTTGGTCCCTTTGTGGTGAAAGAAGGTCGTAAGGACGTGAAGAGGTATGGCGTGTTGTTCACATGTATGTCATCTCGAGCCATTCATATTGAGACCGCAAATACACTGGAAACTGACTCATTTTTCAACGCCCTTAGACGCTTTCAAGCAGAACGTGGTCCTATTCGCCAACTTAGGTCTGACCAAGGTACGAATTTTATTGGCGCCCATCGAGAACTAAAGGAAGCTTTGAAGGAGATAGATCAAGATAAAGTGCGCATCAGCCTGTTGAAAGAGAACTGTGAATGGGTTGATTTCAAATTGAATTCCCCCTCTGCGAGCCACATGGGTGGCTCATGGGAGCGTCAAATTAGGACAGTTAGGAGCGTACTTGTCCCCTTGTTAGAAGAATGTGGCAGCCAACTGAACGATGAGAGTTTCCGTACTCTTATGAAAGAGGTCCAAGCAATAGTTAACTCTAGGCCACTGGCCTTGAATGACATGTCGTCTCCCGATTCAGCAGAACCTCTAACGCCAAATCACTTGTTGACGATGAAGAGTAAAGCACTGATGCCTCCCCCAGGCGTATTCGTTAGAGAGGACATCTACCTTCGCAAGAGATGGAGAAGAGTCCAGCACTTGGCAAACGTGTTTTGGGAAAGATGGAGAAAGGAATTTCTGCAAACACTCCAGCTGCGGAAGAAATGGGTCAAACCACAGCGTAACATGCTTGTAGGCGACATTGTCGTGATTAAAGATGAGAACTTACCTAGGAACATGTGGAAATTGGCAAGAGTTGAAGACGCTTTTACAAGTGAAGATGGCCTTCTTAGAAAGGTGAAGCTTGCTATCGCCACGCGCAGTCTTGACAAGCGAGGACGAAGAATTGATGCTGTTCATTACCTCGAGCGACCAGTCCGCAAGTTGGTTCTTATCCAGGAAAGTGACCTGGAATTCCCCGACGAGGAGCCGCGTTAACGCTTGATCGGAACTTTGTCTTAGAACTTGTAATCATTTGATAAATATGTAAGGAACACTTTACTTTAGACAGTGGATTCCCACTGTGGGGAGCCATGTGGCTGCTAGGCAGCCCAGGACCGCGTGGTAGTGTAATTTTCGCGCCCTTTTGGGGCAGGTGACCAAGCCGTTATTTTTAAGTTGCATGATCGTTAGCTCGGCGGTCAGAGATTACTTCGCTCGCTAGTTCAGCGATGGATTTTGGTTTTTCTGGACAAATTTATAATAGGCTCACAAGGTATTAGTCTTAGTCTTTCTTTCGTTTCCTCTTTTATATGGTTTATTATTTCGCCTGTTGTAATTTTCTAGTTAAGTTTGTATTCGTATTTGTTTACTTAGTATATTTCTCGTCGCATGTAATTAAGGTCTTTCAATTGTATTTTCCTTTCTGGTTTTACGTCAACCTTATCTACTTGTCAGTAAAACAACAGCCGTTTTTCAGTGTTAGAATTCACCGCGTTTGAGTTGTTGTCTCAATGTGGTCACATTAACTGATTTGTGGATTACAAGTTTATTGTTTGATTTAAATTATAAATTTATTAATGGGAGCTTCGCTTTTAGCCCTGGCTAAATCTATATATTATAGCCTGCGGGCAAGTCCTTCATTTTCGGCAAACGAAGCGAGCCGTGCGAGAGCTTGCTCGCAGGCTACCTTTTATAATGTTAGCCACTAACCATGAGTGTGGTTTGTGATACACCAATAACTAGCAACCACTGTGCTACTAATAGTTTCACTAAGTAAATCGACACTATCGCCTGATGAAGACCTGCAGTACGCGGTCGAAGAGACAAACGATCAAGGAAACCATTTATATACATTATCCACGATGAACAATGTCTTTTATGGCAATCGTCTCTATTCTTTTTAGAGCACACAATCGTCAGACTGTAAATAAAAAGAATAAAACTGAATCTGCTGTTCAAGCTTTCGTATCTGAATTCAAATTTCGCACTAACCATGGCTTTTAAACAACCCGGCCCTGAGAAAAAGAAGTTGATAGCAAGTTACAGTGTACACTGTCGAAATTCTTTCGAAATGATTTTCTGGTAAACGATTTTAATGAGCATGTTATCTTTTTCTTCACAGCCATGGTAATAGATGTGCCGGTGTCATAGCTGGTGTGGCCAACAATAATTGGTGTGGTGTAGGATTGGCTTATGATGTTAAAGTTGCAGGTAATGATAACAAACATGATGTTTAGTGCGTTTTTTACTAATTTGAAGTATTCTCCCTTTGTTTGGTTTTGTCTTCTTAACTGAAGGAGTGTTTAAATGAGATTGTTATTGTAACATGCAGCTTGGGAGTGATTATACACTGAAGTTATTGATCACAGTGAATATCTCTTATTAGTATATACACACTCAGTGATCTTGGCGATTCAAGCAGTCTGATTGGTTCGCTGTCTCGGACTATGAATAAATAAATAAATAAATAAATAAAATAAAATAACGATTTGCAGGTAGCACATCTACATAATGGTTCTTCGTCTACCTGATTCCTGGTCGAATTGGAATTTGGAAATGTTGGTTTTTGAGGAGAGGGGAAAACCGGAGTACCCGGAGAAAAACCTCTCGGAGCAAGGGAGAGAACCAACAAACTCAACCCACATATGGCGTCGATGCCGGGATTTGAACCCGGGCCACATTGGTGGGAGGCGAGTGCTCTCACCACTGCGCCACCCTTGCTCCCCAATCTGACGTTATATTCACGGCGCTCAGCGGTGAATATAAGGCAAAACAAAATCGCTGTCGTGAACTAGTTGTTTTGCCAAGTTTCAGAGTAAGAACTTTTTGAAAATACAAGAATATCCCAGTATTGATGATTTTGAAGGTAAGAAAAGACTTCATGGTGTTTAAGTAAAGATGGCTCGGAATTCTTATAACCCCGCTTGCTGGTCAGTCAAACAATCAAGAGGGCTGTATCTTTCGATGTAACAACACGATTTAATCCAATCCAACGATCTATAATTCTCAAACATTCGACGATCAAGACAAGAACAAGAACTAGAACTAGAACGTAACTTAACGAAAACTACTTTTACAAAATCGCACGTTCTTTCACCTTACAGTCGACTCCCGATAACTCGAACCCTCGCTAACTCGAACCTCGCGCTAACTCTAACCAAAATCGATTTCCCCTGGATACATTCACTGTAATTTTACCCTCGGTAACTCGAACCCTCGATAACTCAAACTCCCGCTAACTCGAACCAATTTTCGTTTCCCCTCAGGTCATTTTCTACATAATTTTACCCTCGATAACTCGAACCATGTTTCGAGCCCTTAAAAAGTCGGGAAAAAGCCGTCTACTGGCGTCCGAAACATTGAATTTTGGATTTCCTATTGACGTGTTGTAGGAGTATAGTTTACTGGTGGAGGCTGATGTTGATTGTCACAGGCTAACGTGAAGCAACTTAAACGTAAACGTAAATTAGGCTATGTTTTGTTACGTTACGTTCTGATTTATAATCTAGAAGTATCTTTTAATTTTCACTTGACATTTCTACAATTAGATGTGATTAAGATGTCCACTGTGCAGTAAAAACTGTTTTTTACCCTACTCTCGGCTATTTTCTTCGAACTGCCGATAACTCGAACCTTTTTTCGATTTCCCTTGAAGGTTCGAGTTATCGGGAGTCGACTGTATTTAGCCTCAGAAAATGCAAGCAGTTACATCATTTTTATCATAAATATACTCGGACTTTGTCTACATTATTGTGAAATCTCATGTCACGAAATCTAACTTCTTTGCACTACAAATGTCAATTTCTAATTACTATTTAATCTCAAATCTCCCGACAAAACATGAAAGATATAAACATTATGTATAAGAACCAATTTAGCCTGATAAATAGAAAATGTTCTTATATAAAAGGAAAGAGGTAACCTGCGAACAGAGCCTCCTTCGATCTTCCAAGATGAGTAGGGATGATCCGACGGCCTCGACAATTCATATTGAGCATGCTCAAAAATCAAATGTAACCGAGCATCTCAACCTGGTTTTAAAACTAAGGACAGCTCGATTTCCCGAAGTTTTCATTCACAGACCCTCAACCCTGTTTACAGGCCCTCAATTATAGAGATCATCAAGCGCGCGTATGAAAATAAAAACTGTGGGGTAGTTATTGCTCGTCGATTTTCGATTATACTTTTGAAACACGGTTTTTTCATGAGAGATGATGCGATCAAAGCTGATCAACATGTTGCGAGCACGAGACAAAGAAGAAATCTGTGTCCCCGACAGTTCCGCGATCTGTTCAGACCCTTTATAGCAACTAAATTTGATAATTTCTTTCCTAACATAGGACCTTCTTTGGCCAGTAAAGTTCCCGCTACTCAATTTTCTCATAAAGATTTCCTTGTTGGTCACTATGTCGATTGTTTCTTTCTAAATCCTACTACTCTTGCTGAGGTTGCTTCTATTCAGTGTCTATTGTCCATTCTCTTAAAAAATAGCAATGTGAGGGTGTCGATGGTCTTTGTATGTCTCCCGTCAAAGAAACAATTGATTTACTAGCTGCTCCATGGTCTCATATCTGTAATCTGTCATTTAAGCATGGTGACTTTCCTGATAAACTCAAAATTGCAAAGATTCTTCCCAGGTGGTGTGCGCACTACATTATGGATGTAGAATTTTCAAAATGGCGGCGAAGGTCGAGAAATTTCGCAGGTTATATAGATTTAGTTCTTTCCTTAGACCGTTTTGCTCAATTCCATAGACTAAGATTTATTCAGATTTTTTCCGTGAAGAAAAACAAATCAATATTCTTCATTTCAATCTAAAACATGGAGCACTAAGATTGCTCCTCTAAAAGCATGAAATTTGAACCCGGTTTTTAAGAAGCTACAATTTCCATTATATTGCCCATCGACAATAGAAAACTGTTTAAAGTGTTTCTACAAAGCTTGTTCTACGCCAAGGTATAAACGCTGCCCAACGCGTCCCACGTCTTATAATATTTTTTTCCGAATTGAAACCGGCATGTTTTCATCGAAAATGTGGCCTCGCGAAGACGGATGTGACATGTTACTGGAAGTGTTACTGTTGTAATCACAAGTTAATCACAAAACAGCGGGCGCAGCGGCGACTGGTTCCTCCAAACAATTGTATTAGGTGAGCATAAAATGTTTGAAATTGGTATACAAATAGGCTAATGAGTACTCTGAAGTAGAAATGTCTGTTTTTGTAATAGGATTTTAAAAAGTAAATTCATTATAAAATTGCAGTCATACGTGTGATTCTCTTTATGCAGGTATAAAATCAGTCACACAAGAATTACAGACATTAAATTAAATGATAAGTTTGATTATACAGTTAAGCCCCGTGCATTTGGAAACCAGCCATCTAGAAAAATGACTTTTGGGAGAATTGCAAGAATAGTGCAATGTAGAAGAAGAATTTCATAACATCCACCAAGCTTGCACTTTACTTTTATTCAGTGAAATATGCACATCACTTTTGAAAAAACAACTTCATAATCTGTGTCCAGGCCTAGCTAGTATGTGTTGTTGTGTGGATGTTATGAATAATTATGTGAGTTTCGAGGTATTTAATTTGATTACTGATTTGACTGCTGAGAAATACTGCCAGAACAGCTAGGCAACAAGCTGCTTTTTCAGTGATGTCTAGCGTGCATGGCAGGCGTTTGAAAGGAAAGGGAAAGGGGGTTTTGGACGCGACAGAAACACGAGAAGCGCGCAAGGAAGGAGGGAGGGATTTTAACATTCGTCTGGTGGATGTTTATAACGCGAAAAACAATAGTCTCCTGGCAGGCGTTTCCCCCCTCCTTTCCTTGCATTTCTCTCACACCCAAATCCCCCTTTCCCTTCCCTTTGAAATGCCTGCCACACAGGCTAAGTGATGTTTAATTTAAACATTGGCATTTACATTGCAGTTAGAGTGATAAGGCAGCTTTGTCTCCGAAGAAGATTCTGAATGTTGACTTATCTTTGCTCAGGTGTACAATTTTTTTTTTTTATAAATTTCGGAAAATAAGAACTTGTTTCAAATCTAAGGCTGAGCAGTTTCGTATATAGAGGGGGCTTATCTGGCAAATTTTAGCTTAACAGGTTCTCAAAATCCAGGTTCTTAGTCACAGGGTGTTACTGTACTACTAGGATCCACGACTGCAATAACTGGTCACCCAAAAGCCTGAAGTTTGTCAATAACATGCCAGGAAAAATAGTTTCTGTTGCCATAAAATGGGAGCATTGAAATACTACTCACCATGCCCAAAATTTTTCAAATAAAAATTAAATTGGGATACAGTCAAAGCCTGCTTTACGGACACCTGCTTAATACAGGCACCTCATCATTACAGACAGTTTACTTTGTCCCTGGGAAAAATGCCCTTACACTTTCTCTAAATTCAACCCACTTAATACAGACACCCCATTCAAATGGACAATTTCTATGGTCCCCTCAGTGTCCGTATTGACAGGGTTTGACTGTAACAATAATGAGACCTATGACACCATATCTGAGTTGGGCAAAATTTTGGGGAGGGAGGGGGATCACAAGAAAGGAAAGAGGTCTCCCTCCATGTTGCCCCTGATTACAGGAGATTTGTAAACATGGGTATAAATTTCAAATTTTAAAGAGTTTTTATAATACCAAAAAAATATGATAACTTGTTTTTTTTAGATACTGACACAATCATTAAGGAAATAGTGGCTGGATATCTCATGAACTCAATTCTTGTAGCTTTTTATAAATATGCCCATTTAACGTTTTGTAGTCTTCTTAGGGTCATCGCGCAATGCTCCTCCCAATATGTGTCCCGCATTGACCTTTTGTTATCATTTCTATCGCCACGCAAAAAATGGAAACATTGCCAATGCGTTGAACAACGCTGTAAAATCATTCTTCGTCATTTGACAAAGTTGCACACATTCATGGGAAGCGTTGCAAATGCTTTACGAATCATTGAGAAACGTTGCAATGCATTTTAAAGCATTCAAATGTGTTCAACGATGCATATTAAATGTATGGAGCTGAACGAATATCCACATAAGGATATGGCATATGTACATGTAGCACCTTTCTACCATTTTTATTTACTCTTCAGCAGTAGTTACATGCGCTTCTTAAGCGCCTATTTTTATAAGTGATGACCCTTCTTTTTTCTCAAACTACCGGCCCATTTCTATTCTCCCCTGTCTTTGTAAAGTCTTTAAGAAACTTTTTTATCTCAGGCTATCGGGATTTCTCACAAAGTTTAATATCCTTAATCATCACCAGTATGCCTGTAGACCAAACCATTCTACTGCTATGGCTATCTTAGAACTTGTCAACAATATTTATGAAGGTTTTGAAAACAATCAGTACACTGTCGGAGTCTTCATGGATCTTAAAAAGGCATTTGATACGGTCAATCAGGAAATATCTCTGCTGTCTCTGCTGTCTGTATAACCTAAATTTTTATGGCACTAGAGGTATCCCGTTAATCTGTCTCACAGACAGCAGTGTGTCATTGTTCATGATCATACCTCTATATATAAAACGGTCGTATGTGGGATTCCCCAAGGTTCAGTTATTGGACCTTTTTCTTTTATACATCAATGATCTTTTTTATTTCTTACACCTCCTGTCTGTCATTCTTTTTGCTCATGAATAATTCCCTCACCATACGTGTGCAGGAAGACAAATTTCTTGGAATTATCATTCCCGAAAATTTATCTTGGAAACCGCACTTCTCTGCTGTCTGTGATAGAGTCTCCAAAGTAATAGGAGTTTTATGCAAGTCAAGGCGATACTTACCCTTGGATGCTTTAGAAACTTCATATAATTCTCTTTTCTTACCATACATCAATTATTGTAGTTTGATATGGACATCTACATGTGCTTCTTACCTTGAACCCTTTTATGTACTTCAAAAGAAAGCCATTCGCATAATTACGTTTTCTCCTCTGCGCACACCTTCTAAGCCCCTTTTCTCTTAGCATAATATTCTTTTACTCCGCTCTATCTATAAATTCCGTGTTGCCTGGTTTGTTTTCTCACATTTTCAATAGCCTTTTACCTGTTCCTGTTTCCTCGATCCTACATTTAAATTTTGAAAATCACGATTGTATGACTCTTCACGTTTTAATCTGCATAAAACCCGTCATAGGTATCAATTTTCTTTCGCTTGGCAAGCTCTTATTATTTGGAATGATGTTTCGTTAACTGTGCGCAATAGCCTTACCAAAAAAGACTGCATTTTTGAGTACTTGAATTAGCCTGTGCAAAAATTGTTGAAGGGCTATAGAATTGATATCCCATTTTTATATAGTTTAATCCAGTCGATCTCTTGTCACCAATTTTGTATACCTTGTGGGACTATACTAGGTGTATTTGTTTTTATGGTTTATAGGAATATACTATCGAGTATTTGTAAATTTAGTAGTCATAATAAGTTGTTAAGTATTTAATAATTAAATGTTAAGTATTAGTTGTTTAGTATTTAATTTTATACTTTAATTAAGTCTGCTGTCACCAATTTTGTATATCTTGTGGGACTATACCAGTTGTATTTGTTTGTATGGTTTGTAGAAATATATTATCTTGTGTTTGGAAATTTAGTAGTCATAATTAGTTGTGTAAGTATTGTTAATTAGTTGTTAAGTATTGTATTTCAGTTGTAAGTTCTCTGACTGTTTTTTTCTTTCTTTTGTTTAGTATTGTAATTATTTTACTTAAAGCCTTCTTTTATTCGTGTAAATTCTTTACGTTTTTTTGGTGACCTTTGGCCATTTAAGCCCCCGGCTTTGGTTTCTCTCATGTATTTTTCCGAGTGTCTTATATGTAGTAAAGTTAAAGTTACGTTGAGTATTTGAAAATTGACGAATAATAGTTGTAGCTGCGCAATCGCATTGAAACCGAAAATGTTATGACATAAAGTTCATCATAGTCCAGTGCACTTTTGGATTAACGGTATAGTGCCTTCTTAAGCTCACCGTCTTAACGTTGGACGTAGTTTATTTTTATAAAGCCATTTTCAGTCGCCTTTTCGCTTGACCAAAACGAGCTACTTGGAGATTATCAATCTTCTTTTGTTTTTCTCAGGTATTCGCCTTTTTGACGATGCGATTGGCTTTGAAGTTAGGTCAACTGATGTCGAAGAGAGCAAAGCCTTAGTTCACGAAATAGAAAGTGTCGACATATACTCTAACAGCTGGGGGCCTGGCGACTTTGGTTTGGAAGTCGAGGGCCCTGGACCGTTAACCAGTGAAGCCATAAAACATGGAATAGAAAAGGTATCATTATTTATTGCTTTTTGCTTGCGAACAGGCTTCCAAGTGGAGTGGAACTATAAAGAAAATCGGCGAGTGATGCGAGCCGAGCGTGGCCTGAGGGAAAAAAGGGTGGAACCTGCACATTGTTTTTTGGTGCCGACCATTCATGATATCATGATCTGTTTGGTCAGATTGCTGACTATTATATAATTTTCTCAACCTATTTTTTAGTATTTGTCGGTCGTGGGAAAGGGAACATTCCACATGTTTCGGGCTGTCTTAACCAAGGCCTCCGCAGCAAGGGACAGCCTTCGGCCTAATCCTTTTTGAGGCTGGACGAAGTCGCTTGTCCCTGCCTGCCATTATTGGGTACAATGCTTTCAATATTGCAATAAAAGATCCATACCCAATTGATAAGTGGTGGTCCAAAGCCAAAAAAACGTAGTGTATCAAAAGTAAAGGGGCATTCAAGGGAATCAAATGCTTTTTCGAAATCTATAAAGAACAATAAGCCTGGGGCATTATGCTGTATAGCGTGTTGGATATTGCCATCTATAAGTCCAATACTTTCACCAATGAACCGTTTGTCTGCTCATTTTTTATCAGATTTGAGAGAACAGATTTTATGCGGTTAGCTATAGCTTTTGCTACAATTTTATTTTTTTTACAATTGTTGTGTTAAAGAGAGTTATAGGACTCCTATTGTTTGTGTAAATAGGTTCTGTGCCTTTTTTGGGTAAAATTAACAATTATTCTTTGAAATCGAGGCGAATAGTGGCTGAATATTGCGGCGAGGTAAATATTCCTAAAGTCACTATTAACCGAGTTTGAAAAGAATAATTGTTTTAGTATATACACACGAAGTGATCTCAGCAAAATTAGAAAAGAAACATTGAAAGAAAGATTGACAGATCAAATCATACATGAAAAATTTACTCGCTGCGGTATTACACTGCGTGCGCAGGCGGTGTGCGTCACGAGATTCGACCAATCAGAAAGCGTCATTTGTGATTTTCGCGCTTGGAAAGAGCCGTTTTCAGAGGTATATGTGGTGAAATTTTCGCTTTATTGCAAGCTTTTGTGAGTAATTTCGACACTATACCGCCGTGGAAAGTTGTTGGAACACTTTATCTTAATAGCAGTTGCGTTACTTTTAAATATTTTGTTTTCTTGAGCGTTTGTGACAAGTTAGAATTGCTCGGTCATGTGGAAGCCGCCATGATGATTTGATTGTAATTTTCGCCGTTCTTCTTGGATTCATTCCTGGTTACTGGTAGCGGTTTTATCGAATTATTTTCGGTCAACTTGTTACTTCAACCTTTCTTCTTGTAAATTTCGGGGGTCTACCCGGGTCTACCCCTGATAGTTTCCCCGTTATGAGGCGTTGAAAGTGTCTTGGAATGAAGAGATTGTCTCAGCGAAGTAGCACAACTCCCGGGAAACGGGCTGAGAAACTTGCTTAAGCGAAAGCCGACGTGAAGTGGGTAACGCAAAATCCACTAAGATTTTGTTTCATTTTAAACCAGAAAAGGTAAATAAGTTTGAATATTGTGATAACCTTTAGAAACAAAACATTTTTCATAACCCAGTGCGGAAACTGACAGCGTGTCTTTAAAATAATTTGCATGCAGTGTGTTCTATTTGTATTCAAATCTTCATGTAAACTTACGCGACGGAATAAATCTCCACCAAAACACAAAACCATTATCGAAGATCTAGACAACATCATACGGGATTTTAAGACTGTGAGGTTTGGTTTATAACAAAATCGATACAATGCGCTCACTTCAAGGCGTACAGACAAGATCGTGGCTTGTTTCTGCGGCCGTAGCTTCGGTGAAATTCCTATTGTGCTGTAGCTGTGCGGGCGCTACTTTTGGTCTGTTTTTCCCTTGCCTATAGAAGATTTATTTGCTCATAAGGATTACAAACAGTTACTGTTTGCAAAATAACATAAAAATTGTCGATGAAAAGAAAATTGTTATGAGAGACGATGTAAGATTTCTCCGTATATATCTCACCTTGCTCTTTGTTCGCGTTCTCCCTCCTTGCCGGGTTAATAAAGTCCATCAAACGTTACTATTAAATAGACGAATTTTTTATTTAAGCAAATCCAGGTATGAACTACAGATTTCATTCACTCCGAGATAAAAATATACATATAAACCAAACAATACATAAAATCTTCTGAGAAGCAGGAAATCGCCGCCTAAAATCGCACCTTTGATCGTCTCCGAATCGCGATAAACTTATTGAAATTACGTTATGAAGCCAATAGCAAGCATCTAAGGCCAGTATGAGATCTTGAAAATTCTCCAAATCGCTCTCCCCCGTAATGTTTTTCAGAAAAGGAAGCAGTGTTTTGATCCCGGGTTTTGATTTATCTCTCTCACGAGATGCGAACTCGACCGTGTCACGATTGAAATGAGGCACATAAACAGTTTTACCCATGAACCTTTGTGGGTCGTGACGCACACCGCCTGCTGCGTGCGCAAATGCTAGATCTTTGGAGAATTTTCAAACATGGCAATTCGCACGTTTATCATTTCGCAAACAACAGAGTAAGGGCTTAAATGGAAACTTAAAAAGTTTAAATTCTTTCCTGATCTGAGAAGAAAAGTAGAGCTTTATTAATTTCTGTTAACTCGGCGAGTAGGTGAGAAAAGGTTTCTTGTGTCGTTCTTCGCATGAAGTGCATGCTCGGTTGCCCGAGGTAAGGCGTCGTTTTCTTAGCTTGTAGCATTCTTAATCCTATTTACTCAAAACGTAGAATTTCTGCTACACATCTGCTTTTATTTTCGCTTGTAATAAACTTCGATTTTGGGACAAAATTGTTCTTGTTAGGAAACGCCTAGTTTACAAAACGGCCCTTTTCTTTTCGCTCGAACAGTAGTTGTAAACATGCCATGTTTTGAATCCTTGGGAGTCTTTTCTTGCCTTAAAAAACATCAGTACGAGGATTTTCAGTTGTCAACTTTCTAAAAATCGTTCGCTACAAAAATTCGAAGAACACCTAGCTCACACATCCACTTGCTAGGAGTGAATATTGTTGAATACCCCAAAATAGCGAACCAATCAGATTGCTTGAATCACCAAAATCACTGAGTGTGTATATACTAAAATTAATGATCCCCGTCTTTGAATGATAGAAAAGAATCGCTGAAAGGTGATTGTAACTGAGCTGCTAAGGCTTTTTTTTTTTTTTATTATTTTTTTTTTTTACCGTTTACATTGTCAAGTTGTTTCTCGGACGTCGCAATTTCTTTTTCGCTCTTCCTTTTTACTTTCGCTTTTTTAATGTAAGCGGAGAAATTAATTGAGTTTTCGCTGAACGTAATAAAAGTATGTGCTTTTCAGGCGTCTTTTGAAGCTATCTATTTAATTTCATGTCTCAATGCTTTTGAACAATGCATTCCATATCCTCGGCGAACTGCAGAAATACCAATTTAAATGAAGATATGATCTTGATTCTTCTTGATCTTTACAGGACAAATCTTAAAGTTCAGCAACTGAACTCAGATCCCTACAAATCATTTGAATTTAAAGAATTATTGCTTCACTCTGACAATTGTATTACACGTATTATTATTGTTTACCGTCCTCCAGTTTATGTAAAGAATGGTCTTACGCATGCTGCTTTTTTTGATGAATTTTCCATGCTACTGGAACGCCTAATGTCCTCTCCTGGAAATTTACTCTTAAATGGAGATTTCAATTTCTGTGTTAATGATCCATCTGACAGCACCGCAAGTCAATTCCTGTATCTCTTAAATTCTTTTAAACTGAATATCTTCAATCTTTGTACTCCAACACACAAGAACAATAATGTTCTAGATCTTATTATCACAAGATCAGGTAAAACATTTGTCTCAAATTTATCAGTTCACGATCCTGTCATTTCTGATCACTTTGCAGTTCACTGTAGCCTGGCTATCAAGAAACCACCTAGCGCGAAACTCGCTGTCATGACTCGTAAACTATGCAACATTGATTCAGACAGTTAATGTACTGATATTCGCTCCTCTTCACTATACAGCTCACCTTCGCTGGACCTATCAGAGCTCGGTGATCAATATGATTCTGTTTTTTCTTCGGTTTTCAATAAACATGCTCCTTTACGTGAAAGAGTAATCACTATTAGGCCTCGTGCCCTTTGGTACAGGGAGGAAATCAACGAGCAGAAAGTGATTTGTCGTAGACTTGAAAGGCGATGGCGTCGTTCCCGACTCACTTTCGACTATCAATCTTATACCAACCAACGCACTGCTGTAAAGGACACCATTTTCAAATCAAAAATGGATTACTATTCTAGCCTTATCTCTTCAGCTGAAAGTGACTGAAAGTTCTCTGTTTTCCCTACCAGCTCTTCTTCAGTTGATCTTACCAATAAATTGGTCCACTTTTTTTGAGGAGAAAATCTTCAATATCAGAAGTAATCTTGGTACACCTATAACTCCTGATTTCTTCAGAACCCTAGATACTTCATCACTAACCTGTCGGCTTGTAAATTTTGCACCAGCATCTAACACCGAACTGTTGAACGTTGCTAACAATATCATCATGAAATCCAGTATTTTGGATCCCCTTCCCGCCACCCTTCTGAAACAGCACATCGATTTACTTTTACCAATTATCCTGAAGATTGTCAACTTGTCACTGGAATCCGGTCATTTTCCGACTTCTTCGAAAACTGCTGTTCTATCTCCACTACTTAAGAAAGCCAACTTAGATCATGAAGTTCTTGCAAACTACAGATCAGACCTATTGCAAGGTGTTGTCAAAAATTATTGAAAAGGTCGTCGCAGGACGTCTTCAAAAATATTTAGAAGCTAACCAGCTAAATGAGCCGCTACAATCTGCCTATAAACCTTTCCACAGTTGTGAAACCGCCCTTGGGCGCGTTCATAATGACATTTTGGTTGCTATTGGTAAACGTCACTGTGTCATGCTTCTACTGTTAGACCTGTCTGCTGCCTTGTGGATCACGATATCCTCCTTACAAGACTGCACCCTAAATACTCTATCTGTGGCATAGCTCTTGAATGGTTTCGCTCCTACCTTACAAATCGCGAAGGGTGTAGATCACAGTCTCGCGAGCTCAAGTGCGGTGTACCTCAAGGTTCTGTCCTTGGACCGATTCTGTGTGTACTCTATACAGCACCACTGGCCGACATTCCACTATTCCATGAAATGCAATTTCACTTTTACGCCGATGACACTCAATTGTATATTTCTTTCTCTGCAAACAACGACATGGAATTAACCGAGAGTATCACTAAGATTGAGGAATGCCTGTCCGACATTGATAAGTGGATGTCCATCAACAGACTAAAACTAAACAAAGACAAGACCGAGCTTCTCTACTTATTCTCAAAGTATAATCCACAACAATCCCTACCGTCTCTTCGCTTTGGAACTGACATAATCAAGCCCTCTCCACATGCAAGAAATATTGGCGCCATCTTCGATACCACTATGTCAATGCTTCCCCACGTAAACAATGTTCGTAAATGTGCCTTTTATCATCTTCGCTCCATTTCGCACATAAGGAAATACTTAACAATGAAAACTACTGAGATTCTTATTCGCGCCTTTGTAACTTCCAAACTCGATCACTGCAATTCTCTACTATATAATGTCCCTAAAAACGTCATCAGAAAGCTTCAGTCGGTGCAGAATGCAGCTGCCAGACTGATTACACGCTCTAGGAAGTGTGATCACATCACTCCCATCCTCCTCGATCTTCACTGGCTACCTGTTTCTGAACGAATTAAATTCAACATTCTACTACTTACCTTCAAAGCTCTGCATCAGCAATCTCCAACCTACATTCAAGACCTTATCACCGGCTACTTACCTTCTAGATCGCTTCGGTCATCCTCAACGCTCAGTCTGAATCCTGTTAGCTTTAACCTTAAGACCTATGGATATAGAGCATTCTCTGTCTCAGCCCCCGAACCTTGGAACAAATTACCTGACGACATACGCTTATGCGAGAATCTAAGTCTTTTTAAGCATAAACTTAAAACCTACCTTTTTAAGAACTTTTACTTTAGTCATTAGGAAGATTTATTTGATATTATGTGTTTTAGTTAAATTTAAATTTATTTTAAGCAATTTTTAATTCTAATTTTTTCACTTTATCAAGCGCCTAGATCTATTACTGGATAGGCGCTATAAAAAGGTTGTCCTTCTTCTTCTTCTTCTTCTCCTTCTTCTTCTTGACAAAGAGTACCCTTTCTCCTTCAGGTGGCGGTCAAGTGCTGCTTGTATTACTTTTAAGGAGCCAGGTTCGTAGTCGGTTCCGTCTCGTTGACGGACAGAGGCATAAAACCGCTCAAGAAATTTATCCAGCTGTTCAGGAGGAAGCTTCTCAGCGCTTTTGTCGAGGGCATTTTCATCACACCAGTTCTTAAAAACTCTCAACCAGTTAACTGTGCTTTTACGGGTGTTCAAGTTTTCGGCAGCGTCTTTTAATGCCGCCACATCAGAATCTGTAACATCTTCAAACCTGGACGCCATTTTGGCTGCGTCGGAACGGTTGACATGGCAATTTTGTAATTTCACATGTGAAATTATAAATTAACGCTGAAATTTCGCGCCAAAATTAAGGAGTAATTTGTCACCCATGATATTAATAGTCAAACAGGTCATTTTTCAAAACATCAAACGCTATTGCTTCAAGATGTTACGCTTGGAGCTTGGGTATCAAATATCCCTTAATAGGCAAGGATCAGTAAATCAAGTAAAATAGCTCTAAGTCGTCCGCTTAATCGAGAAACTGCAAGCTTACCTTTCACTCACGTCCGTGGCGTTTTATCGGCTAATCGGCTATAAACACTTTCCCGAATATTACTTTAAATTTGTACGATTTTGTGTAGTTATTCACCAGAAGATAGATTTAAAGCTTCGAGTACATACAGATGTCTCTTTTATTGAGAGTCCGAGGCTTTTATTTGTTGAACAAACAAGACAAAAACTGTCACAAGATTGCTTGGATGGATTGCTGAGATCGCAGCTTTACAAGTTGCGGACCGCAAAGGAAATGCTTACATCGTGGAAAAAATCGTGAAAAATTGTCATGTTTTTTACTATTATCATTGTTATTTAAGCATTTTGGCACTACTAAGCATTGAGATTATTGACTCGTTAGGCAGCTTGTCGTAGATAGTATTTCTTAAGGTTCAATTTCCACGCCACAGATAATCTGGACATTAAGACGAAACTACCATTTGGCTGTTTACAAACTAGAGATGGAAGGTAAAATATATTATTTCCATTCTAAGACTTCCTTAGATTTAAAGACACTGTTAAGTCTAAAGTTAATATTTAGGAACGAAAAATAGTGATGATCATGACACAGAATGCTACAGTAAAAAAACTCAAGACGAAATAAAATGATCATTATAGCCCAGTTTATATATGAGGGTACATACACGCATTCGGTACAACTATTTTCGCAGTATTGAGGTTTTTTAAAAGAGAGGTCATGGATGTATAAGTGTAATGCAAGTATAGAACTTGAGTCTATACAAATCACTTATGTCATATAGCACTTGTGGCAAAGCCCGAAAGAGATAGCGCAAAGCACAGATATAAGTTCATTGAATGTATACAAGTTTAATTACAACATATTCGATCGAGGTACCCGGTAAAATGATAAAAAACGATAGAAGGTTTACAATCCATATTACATCTACAGTTCAAAAAATCTAGAGGACATGTACAGGTAAGTAAACGATTGAAGGAGTACCTGTCTAAGAGTCCCTGTCGAATATTTTCCGCTTCAGTAAAGTAGTTTGCTTGGATCTCGAGCTCGCCATACTACTCTATGTGCGCTGGAAGTAATCTTTAATACCTTGGAGATTGCTCTTCTCCAAAAATTCTTGTTAAATTTTTGAGACGGAGAAGCTCCAGTTGAATGAAATAGTAATTTGTTTTCCTTAGAGTCCATGAAATGTCCTGCTTCACTTTCTGTTTTTGCTCGAGGAAAATGTCGTTTACACTATTTTTAAGGCAAACGCGTGGAGAGGGGTAACTGCTGATAACTGTCCAGTTGTACTGATATTTCAAAAAAAGACGTATAAGGAGCAGTTGTTATGTTATCATTTGTTGTTTATTATCATTGTATTTGTGCCAGTTCACGTGTACACTCTAAAATTTGGGGAAAAATTAACTTTTTGTCATTTTTCTAAAAAATGCCCATTCAGCGTTTTTCTCCGTATTGAAGCGCAGTTATCTCTGAAAAATACGTGGTTACCCCCAGTTTTCTTTTTGGATTTCAATAGCCCCTGATATGATCTACTTGTCTCACATAATCGTTATCTGGGAAAAAATACTTCCCATTAGTGGGCACCGTCCTTAAGATGAACTCAACAAATTGGCCTGCTCCCAGTGTATAGGTCTTCATCACTGAGCTCAAATGGTAGAGCACTGCAGCGCTAACGCAGGAGCCGTGCGTTTAAATCCCATTGAAGTCCCGAAATTTTTTTCGGGTTAATTTGTATTTGCTTAAATTGCAATTACTACTGCGACGATCATATCTTCATTTAAATTTCAACTTCCTGTCAATGTGACACCTTCGGAGTTAAACCAACAAAACATGACTTTCGTTTCAAGGAAAGCATAGGATCTTTCCTTCTATTGTTAGACATGTATTCACTGTTTTTTTCCTTATTTATCAGGGTCGTGGTGGCCTGGGTGCCATCTACACCTTTGCCGCTGGAAATGGTGGCATGGTAGGAGACAGTTGTTCGTATAACGGTTACGTTAGCAGCATTTACACTATCGCAATTACTGGTGTGAACACAGATGGTTCCAAGCCGAGCTATGCGGAGCAATGTCCTGGGATAATGGCTACCGCATACAGTAGGGATGAACTGAATAAAATCGGAACAGTTGTAAGTAAAACTTAAGTTTTCATTTCTTTTCATTGTATAGTACTCTTAAAAAGGAGTATCGAAAGCAAAATTCAATTCATGTTGGAATTAATTTACTGGACAAATGGCAGTTTTTGAACCAAGAATATTCTGTACGAGCTAGACAATAGAGACGGGGTCGCGTGCTCCAAATTCAAAATTAACGACCGCGCATCTTCTCGAAGTTGTCATTCGAAAAAATACGAATAAGCTTCAAAAATCAATAAATAAGTAAATTTCAAGTATTGTCCGAAAAATGAAACAAATGTGACAGAAGGGTTTGAAATATTTAAAAGGAATCGATCAATTAAATGCAACTCAGACTCCTATTTTATTTAAATTAATGTTATGAATGAGCAAACACAAAAGAGTGGACGTATAAATTATTTCTTAGATATTTTTGTTCAATAGCCCATTAGTTTATCCTTAAAAGCACTTCGCGTAACACTTACTGGATCGTGGATCCATTCACTAAAGTCATTAATATAATAATAATAATAATAATAAAACTTTAATAGTAACATCCTCGTGAGGTTTTTCAGGAACTATTTACAAACTATTTCCAATTTATAAAAGTAAAAATAACAATAAAAACTCGAAATCACAATTTATGATGGTATTCTATTAAAATCTAACGCTTATGAAGGAAATGTCTGCCTCAATAGTGTGTCTTTCAGGGCGCGCTTGAAAGATGCCAATGAGGCACTTTGCCTAAGTTCATTATGCAAGTTATTCCATATGTAGGCCCCTCTGTAGGAAAATGTGCGCTGGCCTATAGCCGTTTTGTATAGCGGAATCTGCAAAGAGTTCCGTGTACGAGTGTTACGAGTATGTATATTTGAGCGCTTGGTAAACTTGCTCGTTAAGTATTGAGGCGCAAGATCGTTCTGACATTTAAAGGTCAAAACGGAGTCTCTATAGAATAATTGTTCTTTAACAGGAAGCCAGTTTAGCTCTCGAAGCAAAGGTGTTACGTGGTCAAACTTCCTAGAGTTTGTTACGATCTTGCTGGCAAAATTCTGAATAGATTGTAATCTGTTTATATTCTGGAGTGTAGTATTAGACCATACAGATGAGCAGTAAAGCATCTTGCTAAAGAATAATGATGTTATTAACAATTCTAGTGTTTCCTTGTCGAAGCTCCTTTTGACTCTATTTATTTGGCAAAGCTTTGCGAAACAAGGTGACACTACACATGAAATATGGTGATCGTAGGTCAGATGGGGATCAAGAAAGACTCCCAAGTCCTTGGCAGAGTCTGTTGGCTTCAGTGTTTTACCTAAGAATACCACTCCAGGGTCTTCTAGTAACCTGCTTAACATCTGTCTGGTACCGAGGAAAAGGAGTTTAGTTTTATCGGGATTGATAAGTAGATGGTTCTCACAGCACCATTGAGCTACACTGTGAAGGTCTTGTTCGAGCTTTTCAATGGCAGCAACAAGCTCTGCGAGAGGAAATGACATGAATAGCTTTGAGTCATCCACATACGATTCTAGGTTGCAAAACGTCGGTGACGTGGGTAAATCGTTGAGATAAATGCAGAACAACAATGGTGATAGGATTGCGCCTTGAGGAACTCCGTGAGTTATAGGTAGAGTGTCAGAGTGGGTGGAGCCAATTCTCACGTATTGCCTGCGACCAGTTAAGTAGCTCTTGAACCATTTGACAGTAGAGGGTGAGGCTCCTAAGATGGAGAGTTTTTCTTGAGCAGCCTTGCATGGTCTATACTGTCGAAGGCCTTGGATAGATCTAATAGTACTAGTGCTGTTATCTGCTTTTTATCCATTGCTTCGAGTATCTTATCCGTAAGCAGGATGTTTAAGGTCTCTGTAGAATGAGCTTTTTTATTGCCGCTTTGATGTGAGGTAAGGCGGTTGTTTTTCGTGAGATAGGCGCTGAACTGATTCAAAACAATCCTTTCGAGGACCTTTGAAGCTACGGCTAGCAGAGATAACGGTCTGTTGTTGGCAGCTTTTTCATGGTCACCGTCTTTAAGAATCGGAATCATCTCAGCCTCTTTCCAGTTGTCAGGAAATGTGCTAGTAAGGATAGAACAATTGATGATGTCAGTAAGAGGGCCCAGTATGACAGGAAGACAGTCTTTTAGTACACGAGCGCTGATCTTATCCGGTCCCGGAGATTTATTCATTGGGAGAGATGTTACAATTCGGCGAACCTCTTCAAGTGACACTGACCTTAAATTGAATAATTCCATAGAGGTAGTATCTATGTCAGTTTCGGATGAAAAATCTCGGACTATGATGTTATGTTCTTCCCTCAAGCGCTGTACTGCGTCAGCGGCATTTAAGCCGACTTTAGCAAAAAACTGATTGAATTCGTTGGTTAAGACTGTCACATCCTTTGTAAAGGCTGGTCTCTGCTTATCTTTGGAGGGGATGGCGTGATTATCCGCTGAGCACATGGCCAAACAAAATCCATCTCAGTGTAAACAAGTCCAGGGCGTGGAAATTTTAGCGAAATTAAGCCCCTGGTTCTAGTACACGCTCGACAGAGTCAGGTACCAAAAATTGGCCGTAAAACAACTTCTGTTCTGGAGCCACAAAACACATTGTAAACAAGACCAGGGTTTGAAAAATTAAGCGAAATTAAGCCCCTGGTTCCAATACACGCTCGGCAGAGTCAGGTAACAAAAATTGACCGTAAAACGTCAGCTCTGGAGCCACAAAACACATTTATTTAGAACAAAAACCTGTGGGTTTTGCTAAAAACAACAACGAAAGCATAAGCCAAACCATGATAGCTCAGACATGAAAATGCAGCAACGTATAGCAACACGAACCTTAAAACCCAACGGGAATAGCAGCGTGCTAGTAAAGCAAATTCATGCACGGACTCTGCATGACTAAAACTAGGAAGCACGAAGACTAAACAGCGTAGGACAAAATAGGCATATTAAACGAAAAACTGAAAACCTCGCACGCGGAAATAAGAAAGCGCGGACATACTGCGAGAACTGAACCACAACAACTGACTGCTATCCCGCTAGAGCCGCTCAGTAAGACTGGAGAAAACCCGAAGCCAGCGAATGTACCACTTACGGGATCCATCAGAAGGAAAAGCTGAAACTAGGGAAATGCAGCCTGAAAGATAAAGTGGTACTGTGAGGACAATATAGAAAAAGACGCCGCTCGAGGGATAGCGCCGGTAATCTGACAGGGAATTAGGCTCCCTTGTAAGACTGAAATCCTGGGAGCCGCGGCAGAAAAATAATAACAAGGAAAGCATTGAAAACAAGTACAACCAAAGCAAAGAATATAACAAAGAAAATACTTCAAACAAAAGGGAAGAAGTACAGAGAATACTGACCTTGAAAATATATGTGACCGGACCGAATGTCTAACACGTGGCAACCTATAAAATCTAGGTTGCAAAACGAGATACTTACAGCGAGCATAGCCCAAGAAATTGAGGAAGATGGAAATAAAAACAGGAGGCAGAAAGGAAGTGGTGAACGCCAATGAAGAAACAAAGGGAAAGGCGAAAGGGTGAGGAGGAAGGGAGTTTGATGAGCACGTTTAATGAGGACATGATGAGACCTGTGTGTCTTGTCTCGAAGATGATAATGAATGTATGTGTGAAGAACAAGACATAAAGAACAATACCTTTCATTGAGTTCGTGATTTTCAGGCCTTGATCCAAGTTACCAGCGTAGTTACAATGTTTACCTGATCTTCTATTTGTTTCGTAACGAGATATCTCGGCGTCCCCACGCGGGTATAAAAGCGCGCGTTAGCGTCCTTTTGGCCAGAAAGTCAAGTGGGATTCGCGTCGTGACATCGTTGTTTGGTTCGGTTTTAATCTTTAGTTTCGTTCTTTAGCCGGTGGACAAAAGTACACAAATGTTACTGTACAAGTATACATATTTAAGTTTAATTGGTTTATAATCGTTTCATGAGCGAAAAGCGGATTTGAACGCCTGTTAGAGCAACGCCCACACTTTTGCTTTATAGTACAAGGGTTAAGATCAGATTTATGGAATTATTGTCTAATTTCAGTTTATGTAGCCTTTAAGTAGATTTTCCCGTCTTGTTATCGACCTAATCGTAACGCTTTATTACCGTTTTCAAGCTTTAGTTTGTTGATTACGCGTTATTTGTCTTAGTATCACCTTTTCGCCAAATTGATAGAGATTTTTTCTATTGTTACTTCAGTTTACGGTCAATACTTGGTCTATAGATTTTGGTCTTTGGAATTTATAATTAAATCACGGTTAACCGTTACCTTTGGTTTCCCGTGGTTTTCTTGTTTTGCTAACCCGTAAAATAGTCCCTAATCTAACCTGCTGCGACACACTTCTCGAAGTTTCGTTTCTTGTTTGTTTGTTTGGGTCGTCGCCAGCCACAGTATGGTGTATGTGTCTTATATAGTCGCTTGGGCAAGACCGCTGTATGATAAGCCTAATGCTAATGAGGCAAAAATGTAAACAAGGATTCGCCAATTAAAAGCAAACTTTAGCCCATTCGCTCCTGGAGATTTTGCCGAAAAACGCAATTTGAAGCTAGTCGAGTGGTTTTCTGGTCACTGTCGTGCTATAAAAAGCTAAAACTTACCACAAACCCGTTTACAGGTCGTACACTTCACGGCCTTCTGATCCAGATGAAAAATATTAGCTTGCGAAGTTCGGGCATGCACAGAAAGCAAATTTTGGGGTTTGTGACACAGCAGTCTAGACGTTTACTTTTCGCTTTCTCTCCTCCCCTCTTTTTTCGCTTTTTATGCCTCTTTTTTTTTTCTCTTGCTTGGCATTTGGTAGGTTTCATCTTGGTGGGAAACGTTTTTAGGAAAGCTTTTAGGATCTTAGGATTAGGTGAAAGGAAGGTAGGTGGGCAATGGAACAAGATTTTCATGGAAATTTTCAGGTCCATGTTACATGGTTTTTTGCCTTTTGCTCCGGTGTCCTTGACTGAATTGTGCTCATTCTGGTATGGTTTGTAAGATCTCTTTACTCTGTGCAAGTTAGCGGACAAAGTTGTCCTTGACTGTGAAAACTGATGACGTCACAAGCGGTAGAAAGGAAGTGGATCCGCACGGGCGTTTACGGGCGGCTCAGGGGCGAATGGGTTAAGCGAAAGTCATGCAGTTAATCTCTTTTACTATTCGGCTTTCCAAACTCGAAGCCCGCTCTATCTAGCGAGAAGAAAGCAAGGTTTGAAAGGATATTTTGCTATCAAGTTCTGAGAATATTTTCTATGCCTACTATTGTGATAGATTTGCGCGTTTCGTTTACGCTTTTTAGGCTTGGTTAAATCTGGGTATTACGCGACATATCAGGTGTAATTTGAGTTTGGATTTGAGTTTGGCTTTTTGTTTTTTGTAACGTCCTTTTTTTATTTACAGATAACCATTGATAATAAGACGGGCTGTGTTGGTGATTTTGGAGCATCATCAGCGGCTACAGCCGCGGCGTCAGGCCTGATTGCACTGACCTTGCAAGCAAAGTAAGTCAAGTAATGCTTATTGTCCTTTTCGACGACATGAATTGGTGTAAACTGACACATTGTATATTCCCATTTCCTTTTCGCCTTTAAAAAGTTATTTTTCTATGACAATTTTTGTGACGTTTTAATTCAGGGTGTAAGAAATCCGAGCTCACCAGTTTAACTTGTTCTTTTACGTCTTTTTCTGCTTTCCTGAGAAGGGTGTAAATTCTGACGCGAAATACCGGCAGTGGATACGGATTTTATTTAACGTACTATAGATCGTTTTCACTGTCACGCAACAAAAAAGTAAATTGGAAACCGTCGAGTGGAAGAAGCCAAGAAAATGAAATGTTATAAAAGACGTATATATTTAACAATTCGTTCAAGTCTCAGGTCTTTGTGGCCCACAGTTTCTGAGTTATTTACCGAAACGTTTCACGCTCCTTTGTAGAGCTTTGTATGGAAATCAACAAAAACATCTGGAGTTCACTTTTTCTATAAAAACTCTTTCTTTTCACTCGAGAACTAGCATATGTGCGCATATGCATATCTTCTAGTACTTAAAATGGTTATACTGCTAAAAATCAAGAGGAGGGATTTTTTTTTCAACGAGAAAGCATTCCAATTTTGGTGTCACGCGCTGTAAAAACTCGAAAGTTCAAATTGCTGTATTTTCGAAATGAAACATGCTACGGAACTGGAAACTTGTACAAAGATTTATTTTTTGTTTTTCTTCAACCTAGTTTAAATAAGAATTCGTAAAACCTCGCTATTTTGATGACGTCACTGTGAAAACCATCTATTGTACTATTTCACTGATAAAGGGCGACGGTCAGGAAAAATCGACCAAAATTTTAATGAATGATTTTCCAGTAATCGGAGACCTAGTTATGCGTACAGGATTATGGTATCGCCAGGGGGCAAACATTGCAAGTCGCCACAGAGAAATGTATAGCGTGGAGTTAAAGTAAGCCGTTGTTTCTCCTTTAAAAGCAGTCTCTTTGGACATAGAATGCCACATTTTTGCCGTAATTTGTGAGAAGCGGAGGTGACTAATGTTGAAGCGTTAAAGTTGTAAGTTTTTGTGTGATCAATGCTGTAAATTCTATCGATAAACACTCTATCTTGCGTGAGGTCGACTGTGAAATTTACTGAATGGTCTCGAAATATATGAGTACTAACTTAGATATTAATGAGCGGGGAATGACTTATTTAAGCATTTCCAGTTGTAGTTACATGTGCTGATATTTACAACGAGTATAACTACGCTCGGTTCGGCGGGGATCGCAGTGCTGCGGTTGTGACAACGATCGAAACTATCGAAGGTATGTATCGATATGTAACTTTTAAAACAAAAACATCTTCCCCACGTTGGCATGTTGATTTCTCCTCGCCAAAAACACCAGCAAAATGTTTTGTCATGGTCCAGAGCTGCAATGAGTTCTAACGCCTTTTCCAATCATTTTGTGGGAGGATATAGAATATCTGAATGTCGCACATCCACTTGGTATTTATCTGTATTTATTCAGACACTCACTGTTTTTTTATCGGAAATCTTACTAGTTTTGCGGCACTCACTCGGACGATTTCTCATGCATAAATACCATGTACTTTCCGTGAAATATTTCGTAAATATTACTTTGTTTGTTTTACCAAAATAAAGGAGAATTTTTTTATTTTTATGGCCACGTACATACCTTTGATTGCTGTCTTGTCATGACGGGCGCAAAGCGCCGAACAGCGCTGATCGCAGTCGAGCGTAGTAACACTCGTTGTAAATATTACCTCACGTAACTACAACTAAAAGGCTTAAATGAGCCAGTCTCCCTACATTTATATCTAACTTTGCACTATATATTTCGAGACCTTTTCTTCATGTAAAGCACAATGTAAATTCAGTAAACATAAATTTCACACTCAACCTTACGCAAGAAGGAGTGTAAGTTATCCATAGAATTTATCGCCTTAATAACACAGAAACTTAAAATTTCAACGCACCAACATAAATCACCTCCTCTTCTCACAAAATCGCGACGAAAATGCGTCATTCTGTTTCCAAAGGCACTGCTTTTAACGGAGAAACTACATTACGCCATACATTTCTTTGAAGCGACTCGCAATGTTTGCCCCCTGCGATCCCAGAATCCTGTGCGCATAACATGGGTCTCCAATTACTGGAAAATCATTCCGTGGCAAAAGTTCAGGAATTTTCATGGTAGTCCTACCCTTAGTCTGCTACACAGCCGTTTTTAGGGTCGTCACGCAATGCTCCTCTCCACTGTGGGGAGGAGCGTTGCGTGACGACACTGGGTGCCAGAGACTTCTCTAGCGCGGTTTCCGGTTTCTATCAAGTCTTCAGTTTATAGTGACCGGCGCTTCGCCGCTCTTGGCTTCGGCCTTCCTCCAATACCAAAAATTCCCGCCGCACGCGATAAAAACCTCTGGTACCCAGGGTATGGTAGTCCGGAGGTAATTGTGTAAACACTTCCAATTTCGAAACCCAGAAAATTAGATATTTACAGTCTAAAGGTTCGTTTTTCGTACTTCTTGTAGGTTTTCCCATTGAAAAGTTGCTTTTTTCAATCAAAAAGTGGGGTAAAAAGGTGAAACTGGGTCAATTTTAGCCATTTTGAAACCCAGCCGGCGACTCTGCGTGACAATCTGTTCCGTGACTGCACGTGACATAACCTACGTTTGATTGAAGAGACGGAGCCGTCAAAATGATAGTCACGGAATCACGGTAGTAACACAACGTGATTCTTGAAAGAGTAACATTTTCGATGCCGATAGTCATGTGTTTTGAAGGAGAAAAAAGAAACAAACGCGCTAGAATTCTGCTACTCATTTTTTATTGAAAAATAAGGACTTTAACAATAACAAGACGCTACGGAGCGTACACTTCGGCGTCGTGGTTGTGGAACTAATTAATTGTAAATGCGGAGGAATAGTAAGAAATCAAATATGGTAAGAGTAAGGTGTTAATTTGTGAAATTATGGGATTTGTCAGGATATTCTGAAAAGAGCAACATCCAAGAGGCCTACTTGCCAAAAACTAGCATTTCAGGACAAATTGTCTCCAAGATATTATCCCAGTTATGCTCTGATGACTCCATACAAATCCTTCTAAAAAAATAATTCTCTATTTTTCTTAGTCACATCAGGCTTCAAAAACAGCTTAGCAGTCTCATGTACTGATTAAAGATATGTAAGGCATGGGTAAGGAGTCAATTACGTTGAGCATGGAATTGACTAAAACTCAAAGCCACGAGTTCGAATGTTTTGAGGATAATTATTCACTGACTATCAGCAAGCAGGGATGTCGGATTAACACAAGGAAGTTTAACACCAAAGGAGCATAGCCTTCACAGAGCTTTAAAACACAGCATCCGCCAACACAAACTTGACTTGAACTTTGAGTAAAACTAAACAGCCTCTACCAATAATAACAAACTCTCACTTGAACTTCAGATATCTTACGGCTTCCGCGAACTTGTAAACACAGAACCTGAAAATCGACCTTCGTCACACTTGACTTAACACAGCAGTCCAGCTCGTGGGAAAAAACTTGGTTCGTCAAAAGAACTCGCTTGGAACTTGTATACCGTTTGACTTAAGGTTCTAGAAAATACCAAAAAGGCGAATAGTAGTAGCTTTTCCACATATTTTATGATTTCAGTAACTGATGCAAATCTGCTGAAATGTAAACATGCCCTAATTAATTATTCATGAATAATCCAAATACGTAGAGAACGTTCGAGAAAGTCACGCAACGCATGAAAACAATTTTACTAAGTAACACTCAACAAAGAAAAAATGTCTTTGTGCAGCATTTTGTAACTTTAAATTCATCATAAAACAGTTCGAAAGGAGGGCTCACTCGTGAAATATTTTTCAACACTCAAAGAGAAAATTCGTGTCTCTGCGCGACCACGAAATATCCTCTATTTATTCCTCCAGTAATTAAAGACTAAACTCGAAGTGATCTCAAGATATCACGAAGTAGTCCGGTCTCATTTCGTGAAATAGTCGAAACAAGCCGAAAAGTCACGAACTTGCAGGCCCAATCTTGTCCCGAAACTAGTGCATCATTTCATAACTATTTTTCATGTCCCAAACTACCTTGGGTCGCAGTAGCTCAATCGGCTAATCCCTCAACTTACAATCTCCTCTGATCTGACGGGTCACACAGGTGAGTCGGTTCAAACCCCGGGAAAGCCAAAATAATAATTCTTTCTTCCTCCAAAAAGTTAAAGAATAAATCAAACAAATCGAAGTGATCTCGAGATATCTCGAACTAATTCGGCTCTCACTTCGTCAAATAGCCGAACAGAACCGAAAACCTACAGACTTTGCTTGCCCAATCTTGTCAAAAGATTGCAACTTTGATACATTCCTGAGCGTCGCGAATCCTTTACTTCGCGCTCCGCCGAAGTAATAATTCCCTAAAGATGACGGAACAGGAAGATTTTTCGTCATGTTACTTTACTATCGAGGAAACTTGGAGCCGTTAAATAAGTTATTCGGGTCACCACACTTTACTATATTTACCGCACTTCGGTGCTTTCATTTGGAGACTGCCTTCAGGAACCTAAGCCAATTCTTAGGTATGTTTTGGATGAATGTCTAAATGTGTGAATAAACGAGGACTGGGAAAATTTGGAGTTACAGTAAAAGCCAGCTTATAAGAACCTAGATTTTTCCAATTTAGCCTATATAGGTTCTTATAAATATCGTATTTAGTGGGATTTTAGGCTACTTAGGTTCCTAAATAGGTTCTTAATTTGATAGGGGTACTTGCGATCAGCACAGATAAATATGTACTACAGGGCATGTGCGATATGGAATATATAACTGTATGAAATAATTATCTAGAATACAGGTTAGATGATAACTATACAGTAAATTTATCTTTCCAAAGTACTAGCATGCATGTCTTTTATGCTGCAGTGTCCATAAAATGCCGTGTTTACATTTTGAATCTTACTGACTGAAACCTGGACTAAAATATTTTTTATATTTTCGTCTGTGCGTTATTTTTGTCAAATACGAACCTATTGAAAATTTTAGGCTAAATAAGTTGTTATGAAAAGGAAGTTTAAAATGAAAATTTTAGCGTAACAGGTTCTTAAATTTTAGGTTCTTATTCGCGGGTTTTTACTGTATACCACATGAAGAATATTGCCGCAGAAAACAACTAATAAATTAAAGTTTTTGTCACTGTTAAAACCTGTTCTTCATTTTTGAATTATGTCAGTTCAACGAGTCTCGATATTACTTTGAAATTATCTTCTAAGGAAAGAAGAAGAGTTGTTCTATTGATGGAAAGTGTCCAAATTTCTCCTTGTGGCCTTATTTGTGAACGCGAGGAGAGTTGATGTTAGCAAATTTTGGGTTGAAAATAAGGCCATTTTGAGACTGACCACGAAAAGTGATATTTTTACTTTTCTCGAAAATAAAAGGCTTTTTGCGAGAACAACCTGCATCAGATTATCTACCTAAAAGCTATTTATGGCCGCGGACAAAAACTGAAGGAAACCGATTTTTCAACTCTTGCCACTCGATAGTCGATATTCCCCGACGGATGTTACTAAAACGGGGAACGGGGAGCGGGGAACGGGGAACGGGGAACGGGGAACGGAAGTCTGGGAACGAGTTGTCAGCGGAAACCTCCACAAAAATCCTAAATGGCGGTCCAAATAACGAGAGAGAGAAAGAAGAAGACAAAGAAAGGAATTCGTGCCTTGGTTGAAATCAGGTGGGGGCGAAATTGCAAATCAGACTCACATTTTACGTTTACGTTTTGAGCAGGTGGTATGTTTTTTCGATATTCAACCTGTTTCATTTACAATATGATAAGGTCTTAGGTCTTAGTTTTCGAGACACCTGGCACACTCACATTACTCCTGGATTACTCTGTTTACTTTAGACCGTCGCTTAATCCTGCCTGTTTATCCCCCGAATGTTCTTTTTCCCACTCAGACAAACTCTTGGAGAGTAAAGGTTTTATCCAAGCCCATTATATGCCCTGTTTTGAGAATGCTTGGTAAATAACTCGCAGGCATTGTAATGAGAAATAAACGTGGAATTTATTAATGCATGTACATATAGTGTTCTCGCGTTCTGTGCTTGAGTCAAACTTTGTACAGCTATTAGTATTTAAAAATAACGGCTAAAACTTGGTTTTTACAATTTTTTTTCATAACTGGGAAAGCTTGTTGTTGTTGTTAGCGTTATATTAAAGTCATTGAGTGATGAGTTATGAATCGTTTAAGGTCAGGGTTTGGCATTGAAAGCAGGGTTAAGCACTGACTTCAAGAAGGTGGTGGACAAAACACTGACCCCCATTCCATGAACTACCCCCAATGACTACCTTAAAATGGACTATGCTACTGAAGTTAAGTGATTAGGGTTAGGAAACTGAGTGAATCAGGTTCCATTTAGGGTCCTTATACTGGGAAAACTGACCTAAAACTTCATTCACTCAGTTTCCTAACCCTAATCACTAAACTTCAGCGGTGTAGTCCATTTTAGGGTATGTCCATGAAGTGTGGGTCAGTGTTTTGTCCACCACCCTTCAAGAAGTGTTTATTCAGGTTTGTCACTATATTTACTGTACGTACCAGTATTTGTTTAAAGCAGATAGTAGCAGTTAATCCGAGATATTTGAAGTTTTTCACTTGACTCATGACTCATCGACTCAATTATTTAATTGCTTCTATAATTTCAACTCCTTGACCCATAACGTGGCCTAATTTTAAACCGGCATTTTCTTGGCCTTTACTAGAAACTCTAAAGCTCATTTAAGCATGTTTTTTTCTAATATAAACACAACAAATTGTACTGTCAGTCCTCTACCATACCCCCTCCTGAATGCTTAGGCCAATATTACATGGCACAAGGCTAAAGAGAGTGAGAGACATACTAGAAATGCCACACTGACTACTGCCAACATATAGCATGATTTGTACCAATACCTTTTTGTGCCAAGGAAGTGGTACATTCATGGTTGTCTTGTTGTAGTCCTCTAAGGAGAGGGAGGCTGAATAGAGGATTTACAGTAAAAGGTCTAAAGGGAATTTTTGCCAGTTCACTCTCTATGGAGATGAAAGGGTTTGAGGCAATTATTCAGTTTTCCCCTTATAACCTAGTTATGGTCAAAAGATACAAATATCAAAATCAATTTGAAATGTCATTCTGAATATAAAATGGGTGTAAAAGCAAATTCTAATCATTTTTTTAAAGATACTCCTTTGTTGTGAAGGATTTTGGTAGAGATCTCTTGACTACCACAATTTTGCTGGTATAGGGTCTATTATCAACCCGTTATCGCTTGATATAAAGGAATGAACTGGCCCCCTTTTTGCTAAAGAGTAATGTATATGAAGGGAACCATACAATATCATAGAAGTATTTAGGCAGCCACTTACGAATTTAAACTGTTTCAGACATGTTAGTTTATACCTAACCCATTTGGTTAACTCGAACATAATGATCCTAGTCATACCTACTCGTACCTTAACCCTCCAAGCTTCATTATCCACATACAAATAACATTGTCCACACTTATCTCTTTACATTTCCTTAAAGATTTAGATGACAGAATTTGGTTGAAGATTAAACCATTTTCCCTTTGGTGATTATTTCATTACTTGTCATAAACATTCCTCTGAATAATGTATTGATATTGTTTCGAGAAAATTGATTTTGGTCTATCATGGGACTTGAAGAGTTAAATTTTCTTTTACTTTGATCTTTGATATGTTGTTAAAACAACCTCATCTAAGGTAATAACATGGTGTAATCTGGATAAGCAATTAGCATATCCCATTTCTTTAGGCTGATTTTAAAACTTAGCCTTGGACTCTTTCATTCTAAAGTAAACTAAGAAAATGTGATGATTTTATAATGTAAACTACACTCACAGAACGTGTTGAAAAGCACTCTATACAATAGTGAATATGCATCACTAAAAGCAAACACAACTAAATCATAATTATTTTCACGGCACCTTCATTTTTTTGGTTTCTCTTTTTTCCTTAATCTGTGCCAGTACATGCCGAATTCTGTATTATTTGGCAAACGTGACACAAACATCTTCTGACCTTTGATAACGTGACATGTTATTGTACCTTACAAGCAGAGGAAAGTGAAAATGGGCCGCAGAGGTGTCATCTAAAGCAGGACGTATACTTGTGCACCAATACAATTGCAATTTTTCCCACTTTAAGTATCTACCCTAAGAGGCCGACAAGATTTTTCTGTAAGAAAGTAAATTTGAAAGACTGGTCACCTGACGTCCTTTTTGGGCGCGACATTACCCCATCTTTGGTCTTTGGCGTCTTTCAGATTGCTTATTTTATGATACTCTTGACACATGATCATAGTTACTAACCCTCAATATGTTTAGGTTAATTTTGTTTAATACTTGAACATTTGTAAACGTCACTTCTACTAGGACGGACCATAACTCAGCAGGATTGAGTGAACCTGTATTGCAATATATCCTTTATAGGTTTTGGCAGTTCAGCTGGAACGACAACATGTGCAAATGAAAAACGTGGAAAGTTTCTTCTAATACAATGGGGGGACATGTGGTAGTAGCGGTTTGATTTCCGTCCAAGTCGCCACTGCATGTTTTGCTTCTCCCAGTACCAGTCAGCCTCAGGTCTAACAAGGATGTAATGGTCATCAGGGGGCGTTGCTGGCAGGAAGTGTTGTTTACAGCCGTAGCATTTTCTTACATTTCCCCAAATCGTTGCTACTTGATATGGGACATTAGGTGAGGGCATGGCTGGCTTGGGTCCCCTCATACCGGTTGCCATGCGGGTATTACCTGTTGCGGGTGTGTGTGGAGATGACATCAGTGATACATTGTTGGGGTTCTGCAAACCTCGGGAGCCATAACTGTGAATTCCACCCTCTCTTCCACCAGTTGAAGGCATGGCTGTTATCCACGCATTAACTTTGACCGGTACGTCTAGAGATGATTGAAGTGGCACGTCCATAGGCATATCTACGTTCTCTAAACCGTGGGAACCAAGTGCAGGAGGTTCACATTCAGGTGAAGTGAATGGTGCAGGATTATCGTTCAGAAGTTCAGCCAAAAATGAGAATGGTCCATCAGTGGGGTTACTTGTCGGCTGAGGGAGTGATGAAACACTCAATCCAGGTCTTGGAACTGGATTTGATGCCAATGACTGCATAGATGAACAAGAGCCACCATGTGAGAAGACACACTCAGAAACAGTACGTGCTGGAAGTTGGATGTTGCCGATTGATAAAGAAGCACTTGGGGGAGGTGGAGGTAGAGATAACATCTGATGTTGTTGTGGTTGTCGTTGTGGCTGCTTAGCACTCACACCAAAGACATTTTCACATGTAATAGTGACATCGCTGTGAGGTGTTGGTCCCTTAAAACGCTTTCGAGGATTGTTTTTCTTCCTTCCCACGTTGGGGTCTTGCTTTCCTGCCATGTTTATGGTGGTAATATTAAGAACCTTGCTCTGTTTATAAAAGTTCAGATATTTGGATAGGAGGCCTTGCTTTTCAGCGACTGCTACGGCATGCGAACAAACTCAAGCGATTTGAAGCCTGGACAGGAACATTTGACAACACCACTGACACTGCTGCTACACTTCACTGTGTGAAAGTTCTCACTGCTACTCTCACTTATGACTAAGAATGTATCACAGTCTTCGGCTTGCTTGCCCGGAAAGAAAGGAGCACATTGAACTGCACCAGGGGAGGAAACTATCTTGGCCGCCTTCTCCCATATGTTCCTCAATATGACATCATCAAGAGGAATGTCAAGCATTTCCCAAGAAGCAGACAAAGGACCAACAGGCGCCACATGTCCAATAGCTCTGCTCTCCCCCTGCAACACTTCTGCCATGGACATTCGTCGCATCTTCTTCACGTACGTTTCCCTTTGCTTCACCGTCATCTTAAACCACTGATCTACACTTAGGGCAAGGTGCGGATAATTCATTTTGTACTCCCCTCTTCCTGTGATTGCCTTAACAAATTCGTCATCGAAATCAGCCCTTAGCTGCTTCATATCTTCCACAAACTTTGGAAGAGACACCTCTTGGTAGTTCTCTTTGTGCTTGATTACGTGGTTATTGCTCTCTGAGCAGTGCGTGTAGAACTTTTTTGGGGGGCACCCTAACCCAGCTGCCGTTCGTACTTTAGGAAGCATCGTTTCTTTAATCATAGTAGTAGTTGTAGCAAACCAGCGGACGAAGGATGGAGACTTTTCCTCCCATTTTGTTCGTACAGATTCAAAAAGAGTGTCAAACATTTCAGAGGACTCTGCGTCAACCAGTCCTTCATGGTAGACGCCATCAAGGTGGTAACCAAATATCTGGTTTGTGATTTCAGTCGTGCTGGAGTCTTCCAGGGCTTTAAGATGGTCTTTGACATTATTGCGGAAATGACTCATACATCTAAGTTTCACAGCAGATGGAAATCCCTCTGAGAAGGACTGTTCAAGGGGTTTTTCTCCGTCAGTACCAAATGCCCTCAGTTCTTCCTTCAGACCTGGACAGTTCTTCTGAATACAGTAGACAAAATCTGTATACACTTCTTTTGTCAAATTCTGACTTATCAGAATGGGTCCTATACAAATAGGGTGTTCGCCAGTGCGTTTGGAGACCAACAAAAGGTCTTGATAAGTTACTGGTGTGACACTGTACTTTCCAATGTTGAATGTGGGATCAACTGTCAATATACTCGACACTAATTCTGATGTGCAGTAGCATTTCAAATTTTGAAATTGTGTACTAGACCCCAATACGATAAATAATGGATTTGGATGTGTTTGGATTGTGCGTATGAATGTAGTTTGACCATCGCACCACCTTTCTTCGTTTGCCATAGCTAGTAGACTTCCAAGAACGTCGTTTGTGCTCGATTGACGAGCACACCCAGCCGTCTGTTGCTTCATATTATAAGCTTGTTTCCGGTTCCTTGGGGTTACTCCGGCACTCTGTGCGTTCATCGTTCCTCCTAACTCTCTTGTGGTTTTTTGAAATGCCTCTTTAGGGAAGTGTTGCTGGAGATTACACTTAAGCTTGTACTTGGTGGATTCATTTGTTCGTTGATACGGGATCTTACTTTTCTGTGAATTTCCATGGCACTTCAACACAAAGGGATGCTCTTCTCCAGTAAAGTTGTACTGTACAAGTGCAAGGTTGCCTAGGATATCCCCAGATGGCGATCGACAAAAAGATATTGTCCTCTTGAAATGGGGGGAAGAAGAACATCTTCTGTACTTTCTTGTCAAATGGAAATAATCTTCCCCCACGACTTTCGTTCTAGAAATTTTGTTGCAACTTTCCAGCAACCCATTTTCGAACTTTAATTGGAACGTGTCAGTCCGAGATCCAAGGTTTTCATATGATCCGTTGTCATCAGCTTCTAAGTCTTCCAAAGCAACTACTCTGAGATCAACGAGAAAAGAGGCATTGATCTGTACACGACAGGGCTGATGTTTGCATAGGACATTTTCCACATGTTCTTTAGCGAGTATTTCAATGACTTTCTCTGCAGAAAATAAAGCCGTGCTTCCTCTGATAAAAATAGGAGCACTTCCACAAAACTCTACCTCATCTGGGTCACTGAAAAAAATATAAATAATTATTATGCACTGCCAAAAAATATATATATATAAAATAGGCAGTTTTTCCAAGTTTCATTTGATCTGAAAGTCATTATTAATAATAATAATAATTCAGAGTTTGAAAAGAAAACCTGTATTTGCCTGTATTTATTTTGTGCAGTACAGGGACATGGGCTGTCAGGTACTAATTACGTGAAACGTCACATTAATCAGATTGCTGATTTACTGTTGTGTAGGATGTGTGACAAAAGGGAAGAAAGAGTGTCACCTAGTGAGTGTGAAAAGTTGCCCAGAAGAAATAGAAAAAAACAGGATAATGTGGCAAAGACTGCACACATTTTAAGTCATCTGAGTAATAGCTGGAACGGAAGGAAAAATGATATGAACATGTACCATGGGGTTTTGGAGAATGATCGATGAAGTAAATTAGCTACTTTAGGATATGACCATGCAATGTGATAACGTTGTTAAAGTAAAAAAAACCTTACATTTTAGTGCTGATCAAGACGAACGAATGTATCATTGTAGACATTGCTATACTAGGCCAAAGTAAGATACAGGAACAGGAATTTGAAACAACTGACAAATGTCAAGATTTGAAGAGAGTAAATAGAAAAATGTCGGGTGTGCAGAACGTGGACCTTGTACCAGTTGTTTTAGGGGCTATGAAAAGTCTTACTAAGAAACGTGGACAATGGATTGAAACACTGGGGATTAGAGTAACAAGTGGACTGCTTATGAGCACTAGGAACAGGCAGGATTCTAAAAATGGTGATTGATTTCTGAGTACCAGTAGAGTGCCCCACAAGACAACTGGTTGTTATAATTAATTGTGACCCACTCCCTTAGGATGTATGTCTACATGATAAAAGCCTGAGCTCAGAGCTAATTGATAACAATGGTGATGATGATGATGCTGATGTTGTTGAGATGATGATGATGATGATGATGATGATGATGATGATGATGATGATGATGATGATGGTGAGGTGGTAGTGGTGGTAATGGTGATGATGCTGATGATGATGATGATTATATAGAGGTAGGTCGATTCTCAATTTCCTTCGTCTCCCAGCCCTAATTATTCATGAATTAGGGTTAGGAAACAAAGGAAATTGAGAATCAACCTAGGTTAACTCAAAATTAACCTGAAATCAAATTTGACCTGTAACATATATACATTGTACATGTTGTGATTCAACTTGATCATTGGCTTAAATTTATTGCACTGTGCTTTTTGGTATGGCTATGTAAAATAATAAGTGTGAAATATTAAGCTGGGATAGTATCAAACATTTAAAATCGTACACTGTAGTCAACTTTCTAGAGCAAAGAGAGATGTAATCAACTCAAAAAAAATGATCAATCGATATTTTAAGTAGAAACAAGATTAGTGTATTAATTACGTTCAGAGTAAACACTCAATCTCAAATCATATATAATCAGTTGATCACTCATCACCTTAACCCTTTAAGCCCCAATATCCATGTGCAAATTCTCCAAACTGATCTCCATACATTTCCTTTAAGAATAAGTTCAGAGAATTTGATAAAAGATTAAAGCATATTTTCTCTTTGGTGATCATTTTATTAGTTTCATAAATTTATCTATTGACAATGTATGGATATCATTAGGAGAAAATTGTTGTTGGTCACTATTGGGACTTAAAGGCTTAATAGCTGATTCTCCAATTTGTAATCAATGACTAATCAATACCCCACAAAATGTTAAGTAGTTCATCAGTCATAGATATATCATAGGCCTTGTCAAATTGGCCAAAACAAAAAATAATACACCCCCCTCCCTCCAGCATTTTGATTAGGAAAGTAAAATACAGGCAATGTTTTGTTTATTATGGTGCAGAGAAACACGTTTGAAATAGAAAACTTCATGTAAAGCAAAATGTATAAAGGGTCATAGATCTTTGTATCTCAGGTGCAAAGAAAGTCTTGACAATGTTAATGCTCACTGGGAACTTGCTTAAAAATTTACCTTGGTTCGAATTTTATTTTCCTTAACCCAGGAAATAGCTACATAAAAGGGGTTCAAAAGAAAAGTAAATAATTAACCACGGGTAAAATTGGAACAATAACGTCAATTTTGTGTCAAGATGGTATGACACAAGGTGTTGTGTCAGCTTCAAGTTTTGAAAAATGAGAGCAAGTGTTTTGACTTTGATTATGATGGTAATGGTAGTGGTGATGATAATCTTATGATGAAAATTACTTTGAAGATGATGAACATAAAGAGAAAGAGAAACAATCCATGATATTATAAAATGAGAGCAGGATAAACTTAAAGTTGGTGATGATGATGTAGATGGAGCTGCCTACTTCAAAAAGTAAAGGACATTAATTTTAAAACTGTACATAAATATTGAAAATGTCCTTCATTGAACTTGGAAATAAGGAATTTTACTGGAGTAATGGCTTATCAATATTGTTAGAGACACTTTCAAGACACATCTTTTTCGGAAAAATGGTCGGCGATGTTTGAGGGAAGAATTTATGGTGGCTTTAGCGGTCAAGAAGTACTTTTGGTGACAAATTTCCTCAGAAGGAAAATGAAGCAGATTTTCAGCGACAACAGACCATGGTCACACGCCACAGTCACACCATCGATGAACATGGTCAAACATGAACATGGTTCGCAATCAAAAACCATGATACCATGGTCAAACTGTTGCCGGGGTAATAGAGAGGGAGGGTTTAATAGATCTAGATGATTTATGATGTTAGAAGAAATGGAGGGTCACTGTAGGCATTCAGGACCAGGAATCAGTTTAATGACCCTCTTACACAAGAGGTACATTAACTTGAATTTTGTAAAAAAAATTACTCTACTTAGCTATAACCTCTGCCAGTATGATCAGGAAAAGATATTTAAACTATCTAGATAAATAAATAACAGACTGCAAATTTATATAAGGATTTCTCTTTTTTAGGCATTGTATAAAAACCTACCTTTCTTTTTGTTGTTCTCCTTTTTCCCTTTTTGTTGGAGTACTTTCCAAGGAGGAACTACTTAAAATTTGAACTACCTCCTCAACATCCTGTTGTCAGAGAGAAATACTTCAATTCAAGATACTGAAGTAAAACCATGTACAACAATGTAATAACTTTTAATGAGTGATGTACATTTACATCTTACCTGTACATCATCATGCCACCTGACTTCAGGTAAATCAGAATCAGAATCTGAGCTATGAAAGAGCAAAAAAAAAGTCTCATTGTAACAAACGGACCTGAATGCCACTGTTTAAAAACGTGAAAAGTTTCCCACTGCATAAGGGAGACATAATTGGCTTTGAAGTGTCGCAAGGATTTGAGAGTTTCTTAACTTTTGCATTTTTCTCGTGATCACAAAAAAGAGATTTGTCAGAAAATAACAATAAAATAATCCAGCTTTGTTCGGAGGAAAGTGCAATACTGGCAATTTTAAACTACAGTAGCTATAGAGTTAAAGTTATCGAATTGGTGATCTTTAGCTTTAATAGATAAAATACTCCCAGCCAGTTAGCAAAGAAGGAGACAAAGACTGGAAATAAGTCGGAATAAAACATGATCCCTACATTTAGTTTCAAAAAGTACGACACATTTTCAGCATTTTCATATCTACATTTTTGCACCTGACAACAATGAAAGACTGATCATGCGGTTATTAATTGTACTGCTGTTATGATTATTTGAGTTATAACCCATTTTGTGCATAGATCGACTTACAACAAACGTGTAAACATGTCTGCATTCGGTTCAATACGGCATAGGCTACAAAAACAACAGATCAGGAGGAAGTGAAATCACAAAGATCCTAATCTTGTTGAGGAAATGTATACAACTTGTCCTCTGATTTGTTGATGTTCAAGTATGTTCAGTTTACTATGGTGTAAAATATTACTGCATTACAATGAATACTCACCTTTCAGAAGATCTAACTTCTATCACACCTGAAATATAAGTGATAGAACTATTAGTACTCCGAGTTTTTTGGTCAAAATTGCCACTTGGTTAGGATTAAATTCACTTGTGTTGACAGTAAAGACTCACCAGCCATGTTTTCGCCTCTTTGCACGTGGTGTGTTCCTTTCTGTTATTTCCAGTGCCTCTCTGCCATTTTTCTGCCGTAATCCCGCCATTTTGGATTTTTGTGGAGGTTTCCGCTGACAACTCGTTCCCAGACTTCCGTTCCCCGTTCCCCGTTCCCCGCTCCCCGTTCCCCGTTTTAGTAACATCCATTTCCCGACCGTCGCAGTTAAGTTTCAGGGATAGCGGTACGGCGCGAAGTAAGAGGGAAGGAAATCCCCTCACTCTTTTTTTCTACTCACATCTCGTTGCGCCTTTCCCACGATCTTAAAGCCTGGAACAGGCTAGGGATATAGCTACAATCAATGGACCATAACAATATACAGACTGGAAGATGCCGCGAAGACCGTGCGCTCCCCTTGAAAAAGAGTCAAATGAATAAAGGCGGTGGTAGGGAAAAGACTCTTTTGCACTCTAAGGTTGAACAGATTTTGGTTTTTAGGCAATCATTGTGAAACAGACGTTCTAAATGGATAAGTGCACTAAGTATTAAATTTGAAATTGCGGATGGCCATGGGCTGTCGTATTTAAAAGTCAATGACAAGTGTCAATGGTAAAAAAAGTAGGTCAAGTTACGAAATTCCGACGGGCGACACTGTAACGTTCTCAAATTGCGACATTACTTGTTTTTAAATTCAGACGGAGGACATAGGTACCCCCTCCCCTAACAGGGCCTCAATTTGGCTTAGAATTCACCTACAACAGCAGTATCCTCGTGACATTTAAAGTGTGCTGATAGGTTAATGCTAGCTGAGACTAAAACCTTGTTTCAGTTTAGATGATCGCGTCATTCGGAAGTGTCGTTTAGCCGTTCACCCGGTCTCCACTAACCTTATACATCAGTTGGAAGGGGACGTTTGTAAAAGAACCCTTGACATTTTTCGAAAAGAGTAGGGGACCTAGACCCTGGTGGCGTCGCCTTTGAGAGAAGAAAACTGTCACTTTTCAATTTTTTCAGCCCTTACCTAACATGGCGTGACGTACAACACATCATAGTTTACAGCTCAAGACCGGCGCCAGGAGTTACAGGAATCCCGCTTAAAGGAGGACACTGGATAGTGAACAAGGCTGGTTTATATGTCAGCAAGTTTTACGGCTTTGGGCTAATGGATGCTGGTAAGATGGTGAGCCTGGCAAAGAATTGGACAAACGTGCCTCCACAGCTGAGGTGCGAGATAAAAGGCGGTGATAAAAACAAGTAAGCTTACAGTTTTAAACTGTGACAAAGCACTGTGCCATCTGAGTCCCTATCGCAGTGCCTAGTTTCTGGAAAAAATGCCTCCCATCAGGAGTCCATATATGGGAGCGAGCAACTCCCATACTAGGCCTATGTCACGACGTTTTTACGGGCCAGTTTATTTTTAGACACATTTTTGGGCGCTTTTTCCCGCGACAATAGAATTTCCACCATGTCTATGAGTGAATTCGAAGTATAAGATATCAAAAAGGAAAACTAATCGTTATTAAAAGGCCAAAAAATATCACTTTCAGGCCTGTAGGTTTTGCAGACTGGTTTGTGAAATTTAACAGATATTCAAAATTCGCGCCAAAACCGTTCTAAAAATAGGCTGGTCCGTGAAAACGCCGTGACACTAGCGTATGGAAGTTGCTCGCTTCCGGTTATGGGCTCCGGCTCCCGTTCCCATCAAATTCAAAATTATTGTTTTTAAGAACTATTTCCGAAAAATCTACCAAGTCCCCTAGTTTCCTCCCAACGATCAAGTTTACATCAAAATGATCAAGAAGTCGAATTCGTGGATGTTGAAGTGGTGAGTGAATCGGGGAAACCGGAGACGGATGTTTACATTAAATCCACTTCTAGTCATCAGGGATTCCCTATGCTCAAGCATTACGTTTGAGGAGGATTTGTTCTAAGGAGACTTTCTTTGAAGTGCGGGATTTGTGTAGTTTTTTTAGTACAGAGGGGATATAAGAAGAATTTCATACAACAACCAGTGGATAGAGCGAGACAAACACCCAGAGATGAAGCATTGAGGTATAGACCAAAAAAAAGAAAATAGCAGAATTCCTTTCACAGTGACTTACCATCCGGGCCTTCCTGATATCGAGGGCATGTTGAGGAAGCTACATCCGGTTCTCCACTCACCGCAGAGATTCCGGAATGCCATTAAGGAAGTGCCAATAGTCGCTTTTTCACAAATATATATCAGCATAAAAAAAAACAGCTTTCTTATGGTACTGTTTTTTTACACAACATATATATATGTCTGGATTTGCAAACACATGGCTACAGAAATCTCTGTTATATACCCTCTGACTGAGTCTTGTAGTGGAACATGTGTTTTTTTTTTTTTTTTTTTTTTTTTTTTTGTTTTTTTTCATAGTTACTTTTTATTTATTCAATCGGTACCGGATAGGCCACAGTAGATAGACTTTGATGAGTTTCTCGCTCGCTATTAACCTATTCCCCCCCCCAAAAAATGTTTTTCATAACTTCCCATCATTCTCTCTGTATGTCAGTTTGAAATCAGCGCGCGTATTAGACTGAACTCGGCTCTCATAGTGGGTTGTCTTAGAGTTTTTTTGGCTGCCTTGAGCAAAGTTTTCCGGAAGGCATCATTAAGCCTTATGAAGGAACAACTCTCACGTCTGGCAAAGTCTGCTGCGTCCAATATCTTCTGGTATTTCGTTTCATTTCGGGCTACACGGGTGACAGACTGATCCCGGGCTTGAGACTGAAAGATTGGATATTGCAAGCTTTGTTGTTGGCAGTAACAAGTCTTTGGCCTCACAAAGTAGGTTCTAGGGTTGAAATCTATTAGGCAAGATGGAAATTCATGCTGATTTCGTTTTTAGTGCTCGTATTTCTTTCCTCCCCAAAGGCCGGAAAAAAGACTCAGTAGCCAATCACATTGTAAAAAATTGTTTGGTAATCTGATAGGCTCGGTCTGGGGCTTTCTGAACTGCAATAAATGTCAAAAATAAGTGTTTTTCAACCGCCTTAGCGAAGGAAAGAAAAGAAGGAAAACGGTAACTCTAAGGTCACGTTCAGTCTTGGTCAACACTTCATTTTACATCCGGGATCATTGCAAATAAAACAATAAAGGAATGTTGTTTTCGACTGTCAGTCTAAAAAGTCGTGGGAGCTAGGAAAAGTCTCCTTTTCAACCGCTGGTTTCCATGGGACGAATAAATTTAGTGTGGAGAAAGTTCCATGTGACGATTTAGTTTTACGGAGTAATTTGACGATGTTCCGCCCATGTTAAGTGTGGAGATGTTATAAGTGGTTTTGGGAAGTGTTGTGATTGCCGCGAAAGTCATTTATTGTGTGATGTACCGAAAGTGTTGACAGACAAATTTCAGGTATGTGCGGTTGAGCTCGTGTTACTAGAATACTTTGTGTCAAGCATAAAAACGCTTCGTGAGTGTTTAGTTCAGGTGATTTTGTCTTAGAAAGCCTATTCTGTGCTCAAAGATTGTGGATTCTTAATCTGTTTTCAGCCAACACTGAGCTGTGGGCCTCACGGTTTGACTGACTAAAAGACTACAATTTCTGGACGTTTCAAATGTTGTTTATTTCATCGCAAAATCCTGTTACTTCTGCGAGAGAACTTTACCGTCTATTGCCAGCAATAATGCTGTCATTGTTTAGCTTCAGCTAGTGACTTTTAACTGCTTCCCATTCCACTTGGATGTCAAGTAGTTAAAATGCACTTGAAATTTCTTTAGCCACGTTTTAACAAATCGAGACAGATATATATATAGATATATAGATATATAGATATATAGATATATAGATATATAGATATATAGATATATAGATATATAGATATATAGATATATAGATATATAGATATATAGATATATAGATATATAGATATATAGATATATATATATAGATATATAGATATATAGATATAGATATATGTATATATACATACTTCTTAAACATTAATAACATAAATTTTGGACAGCGCTCAACTCTGAGAGGTGCAGTGACTATAATGATCAATAGTAGAAATCTTACTACTATTGATCATATATATATATCTTACTCCAATGTAACTAAGAGATGCAATTTGTGTTAGTGGGAAAAGTATTTTATCATTTGTAAACCGGAAATGGAAAGTCTCAGTAAACAAAAGAAATGAGCTGTCATCGTGTTGTAGACATGTTAGGAAATTTCTGTTAAAAAATGTAACGATGTAATGACATGCCTAGACGTCACGTACGTATCCATTGTTCTGTATTTAAAATTTCTGTGATTGTAACCGTTATTTCTGGCAGTTGCCTGATGATTGCTTCGCAAGAAGCATGAAACTCGGAGTTGCAGTAAATGTTCAAATAACCTAGCTCTTGGAGTGTAATTATATATATATATATATATATATCCAGTTAGATGTTCACCGGCGAAGCCAAGACAGTGCTCTACTTGCAGTGAAGGAGCGGAATAGACCAGTAGGTGAACTACTCAAATCCTGAGTACATTCTAAAATTTAAATTTCAAACGTTATATGTAACCGTTTTTATCACGCGATCACTTTTCTTGATGTAGACCCTGTCGCTTCAGTGTTATAATGGAGTTTAACTGAAGAGTGGGTCACCTTTTCGGTGGCCTACGAAACAGGCTTGTATTAAACACCCATGTACTCAGGATTTGAGTAATTCACCTACTGGTCTATTCCGCTCCTTCACTGCAAGTAGAGCACTGTCTTGGCTTCGCCGGTGAACATCTAACTGGATAATTACGCTCCTGCTTAGTAGAGCACTGTTTTACCGAAGAACCAAAGATGCAACGTACATCGTTCAACTACTCAACGAAGAACATCCCCGTTGCACCAGCTAAAGTCTACACCAAACGTCTGATCGAGAAAACGGAACAGTTCTTAAGCAGAATGAGATGGAAAGCTTTCCACTATTTAAATCCAGTTACAGCAGCAGAAAAGGAAACATTCGGCATCAAAACTAGGAACTGCCCGCCAGTCGTTGAAGAAATGAAAAGTTTTGAAGAAGGTATGATACACATTATACAAAACAGTTCTTTTAAAGGCACTCAAAGCCAATTTCAAGAAGGCCTAGAAGAGGACATTGCTTCCGTAAAAAATGACAGCCGCTTGTTCGTTAAAGCAGATAAGTCCACAAACTTTTATAAATTGGACGTGCCAGAATATAAACGACTGCTAGAGGCCAACGTAACAAAAACCTATAGGAAAGCCGAAATTAAGCAGCTCACGAAAATTGACGAGGAAGCCAGGACCATCACAAAAAAACTTAACATAGACGACCGGGTAGAATCTATGGCAATGAAAGAAGCGTTTATAACGCTAAAGGACCACAAAGAAAATTTTGAAAACAAGCCTACTTGTAGACTGATTAATCGTTCAAAACCGGAGATAGGGCGTATAAGCAAACAAATCCTGGAAGAAATAAATCGGAAACTCGTCGACATCACAAAAGTCAACCAGAGGAAGAACACATCCTCTGTGCTCCAATGGTTCAAGCAGCTGGCTAATAAAGGCGGCTCGGCATTTATATGCTTTGACGTCGTAGAATTTTACCCCTCAATTACCGAAGCCCTCCTAAAACGCGCCCTTGACTTCGCCTCTGAACATGTGAACATCTCAGCCAACGAACGACAAGCAGTCATCAATTCCAAGCACTCCCTGCTATTCAGCAAAGGCCAACCATGAGAAAAGAGAAATTCAACATCAAATTTTGATGTAAGCATGGGAAGCTACGACGGAGCGGAGACTTGTGAACTGGTGGGCTGTTATCTCCTGTCGCAGCTAAAGCAGATCCCTGGAATCGAAATCGGCCTTTACAGAGACGACGGGCTTGCCGTACTCAATCAAACACCAAGGCAGATAGAGAAGGCAAAAAAACAAATATGCCAGATATTTGCGAACAACAACCTGAAAGTCACAGTTGATGCAAACAAGAAAGTTGTTAACTTCCTAGATGTAACACTGGATTTAAACACCGGAAAATTCAAACCATACTCCAAACCATCCACCACCTCGCTTTACGTTCACAGCCAATCGAATCACCCACCCAACATCCTCAGAAACATACCCGTAGCAATTAACCGGCGGCTATCCAGCGTTTCTTCCGACCACGAGGTTTTTAATGAAGCATCGGCTCCGTATCAGGAAGCATTACGAAAGAGTGGCTATGCTTTTAAACTAGAATTCAAGCCACCACCACAGCAACCACCATCTCAGAAACGCAAACGACAAAGAAATGTTATATGGTTTAATCCACCATATAACAAAAGCGTCAAAACCAACATCGGACGTGCGTTCATCAGCCTCATTGAAAGATCGTTCCCAGCGGGCCACAAGCTGAGGAAAATTTTCAACAGGAACACCATAAAGCTCAGCTACAGCTGCATGCCCAACGTCAAGCAAATAATTGATGGCCACAACAAAGCTATCCTGAAGATGGCAGAAACAGCGCAGCCACAGAAAAACGACGAGAACACGTGTAGCTGTAGGAAAAAAGAAGACTGCCCGCTAAACGGAGAATGCCTGGTGAGCGAAGTAGTGTACCAAGCCACAGTCACAACCGGAGACGAAAAGGAGACATACATCGGTCTCACAGCTACTCAGTTTAAGGCAAGATACAGAAACGACCTGATGTCATTTAGACATGAAAAGAGAAGGAATGAGACTGAGCTGAGCAAGCACCTGTGGCAGCTAAAGGAGGCAAATAAGGAATACAATATCACGTGGAAAATACTCGCCAAAGCAAAATCTTACACCAACCTTACAAAACGTTGCAATCTATGTACAACAGAGAAGTTCTTTTTAATCTGTAGGCCTCACATGGCAACACTGAACAAGCGCAACGAACTTGTCTCTACATGCAGACATCGACGCAAGTTCATTCTAAGGTACAATCGAACATGTGAAAGCCAGAGATTGTAGCGCGAGCTTTCGTGCGACTTAGGTTTCGTATAAGAGTTGTAGGCGATTGAGAGCGAGCGCGCGCTTTTCATTCTAAAATTTAAATTTCAAACGTTATATGTAACCGTTTTTATCACGCGATCACTTTTCTTGATGTAGACCCTGACGCTTCAGTGTTATAATGGAGTTTAACTGAAGAGTGGGTCACCTTTTCGGTGGCCTACGAAACAGGCTTGTATTAAACACCCATGTACTCAGGATTTGAGTAGTTCACCTACTGGTCTATATATATATATATATTACTACAGCTCTGTTTCGTGTAGCCACAAGGATTGATCGTTCTATGTGCACTATTCAAGTAATTGATAAAATCTTTAAGACTTTCCTCTCCCTCTGTCCAGATTATAAAAATATCGTCAATATACCGCCACCAAGTTTGGGGTTTTATTAAAGCTTGTGAAATCAATTTTTTTTTCTAGTTTGTCCATAAAAATGTTAGCATGCGACGGTGTTTTCTCGGTGTTGTCCACACCGTTATAAAAAGGTCCATATCTTTTGATTTATTGTCAGGATAAACATGACTGCTTTTATTTTCAGACCAATCCCAAGTACAGCTTCTATAATGTTTAGAGATTGTTCCATAAAATTCCTGGAACACGTTCAAGTCAAAGTAAATCTTGATTTCGCTCGCCGCGGAGATTTGTCTCTGCAGCTGAAGGCGCCAAGTGGTACAACCTCGCCTCTCACTCGAAAACGCACTTTCGACAACCTGCTAGGTCACAGAAACCTGACAGACTGGGTCATGACAACCTTGTTTCACTGGGGAGAAAGTCCTGCGGGCGAATGGGAGCTTATTGTTGCTGATTTTGACAAAAGATACCCTAGTACAGGTGAGCGAAAAATAGTCCTCTCCAGAGACGTCTTCCTTCCTTAACGTCAATTGCACGAGAGCATGTAATAGGAAAGTCAGAGATCTTGAATATATTATCGTGCGAGAAGGTTTTCATTGCAGTTGAAAATTGGATGGCGAGGTGTTCTCGAACTAGCGGGCTTATTTCGCCTCAGAACGAGAACCTTTGAAGCTAAAAACTGCCAAGCGGTTTCTGCAGATGCTGTGTTTTGTTTTCTTAATATTTTTGTCGAAAATGAACGGACAAATGCAGAGTAAGTTGAATTAATAGAATATATTTAATTTCAACGCGCATGTAGCAGAAAGTTGGTTGTATTAAAGCGCTAACTGTGTTCGCTGTAGTTGTCCGATTACTCATTTTCTTGCAACAATGCTTTGGGCAAGAACAACGTTTCAGTTAAGAGGTAGTTTGTCAGCTCTATTCCGCTATTTGTGCGTTTACGTTCACAAAATAATGTGTTAGCATATCATTTTAGCATTAAATTTGACCAACATTTTGTGGAGCGATTTCGACGGTCACGATTGCCTTCAAACTTACAGACATAAAACTAGAGAGCTCGGAGGCTTATTTGCTGAAGTTGGGGAAAAATCTGTCGTGGGATTTCGAAATTATTTTCATTTTTCGGAAAAATGAGGTTTTAAATATATGCTGATATCTCAAAAGTTTTTATACCTATAAGAAAATAAATAACATTTTCTTAAAGTTCCATCATTATTTATTAAGGATGCAAAAAATCGTAGAAATCGGTTGAATCTGTCATTCTGAAAAACGCGAATCAAAAACATAACCAACACGCATATAAATAGGAACGGGCCACCTTAAGTTCCTGACACATTCCAACCTTCTTATTCTTCTTTGACCCATTCTCTTATCCCCTGATACAGCAATATCGATAATGGCACACTTTTTCTCCTGTTTGGGTACAACCACAATGTCCAGTCTTCTAGCTTCAATAACATGATCACATTGTATGTTCATATCCCACAGTAGTTTAACCTCATCGTCTTCACTTACACAGTCAGGCACGTGTTCGTACTACTTATCCTTCTTTTCCAGATGATCTTTCTCACATTTGACTTCCAATGAACTGCTTTGCAATATTGTCATTTTTCTGTTTATATTCCCTTTGAGCTAACATTTTAAGCGCACAGACAAACAATTATAGAATTTTGACAGATGTAAGTAATTTGCATAAACTCAGCTTGAATGCTGTCCAGGTGACATAGTCCCTTTAACCGTCGCAGCAAAATTGACGTTCTGAGCGTGCTAAACGTTCAAACAAATATTCCAGGATGCCAACGATGTACGTATGAGAAAGTTGAACGAAAGCTGTTGATTTGAGGAGTTTATTTATTTATTTATTTATTTTTTACTGCAAAGTTATACTTGTTATCTACGGCAGTTTTAATTGTTACTCCTTTTCTATGTTTCTTGTTGTTTTCCCCAGGTAATGTGTGTTTTCATTGTTCCAGGTACACTTCATAGCTGGTCCTTGATTTTGTATGGAACGACCCGGCGTATACTAATGGCGCCTACAGGGACAGTTAAAAGAACTAAGCAACTTCCAACGACAAAACCTGGTGATTAAGTTAATTTGTATTCGGTTTCCACTCAAGCTGATTTTAATGAAAGAAAAAGTAGCTGTTGCAATACACCAAGCTAGCCTATCATAAAAATGCACTGGAAGTGTCTGTTTTTTTTTTGTTTGTTTGTTTGTTTTCAAAATCGTTCACGGGGCTTGTTCATCCAATAGCTGCCTCGATGTTCTTAAAGTGTGAGCGAAATCTGTGGGAGCGCTATCGAGATAGTTTGGAATGAAGTTTTATGGTTATTAAACATGAGCAATCTTTTTTAATGTTGGGTCGTTATCTATTGAAAATGAAGCGCTTTTAAAGTGCAATTTTACCTTATAGTATATTTATAGGATATGTTTGAGAAGGGAGATTTTTTTCCTCCAAAGACAATGCCGTGAATAAATTGTCTAAATAATGAGAGGCTCTCCTGTAACGCCTTCTCAGCTTTAGTTTCGTGACGCATCACGTGATCTTTTAGATACCGGATATTCGTATTCGCACTTGGACACTGAACTTGTGACTAGAACTTTCACCTGAACGTTCGATAGAACTTTCGGAAGAACACGCTCGTGTTGTGTGTAGGAACCTGACAGTCTTTGACGGTCAGTATGGGCTAGGTCTCAATCGAACTACCGTAAACATAACCGCTAGTTCGTGTTTGTTAAGTTTTTCGACAACGTTGCGACAAATATACGGACCAGCCTGCAGACTTTGTTAGACTTGTGGTTGCCTCACTGCAGTTTCCTCGCGTCCCTTTATTACCCAGTAAAGGCGTTTGCTACACTCTCCCCTTCAAACCCGAAATTTCTGTTGAAATATGCGCATTGAATTTTATGGCCTTATAAGTTTTCAATCTGGAGAATTTTTCAAAAAAATATATCTAGGGGTTTCTAACTTATTCGCTCATTTGTTAAAGTAGACTGACATATTTACAAAAACGCCAACAATAGGTCCTCAAAGCATACCACACTTCTTCGACTGAATCGAAGCCATCCCTTTGATTTTTTCACAACCCTTTTGTTTTACATATAATGAAACTGCTAGGAGGTGAAATTGCGCTTCGCTTTGTACAGATACCGGCCGAAAACCAAATTTGTCCAGTTTTAACTGTTTATAATTATTACTAATAATTTTTCGTCAACGTTCTAATAGACTTTGCTCAGACTTTATAAACGTTGTGGCAGCTCTTATAGGAACAAGCTCCTGTGAAAGATTTTGGGAAAAAACCTCCCAGTGCCGAGAAAGATCACTGCAAGTAAAGTAGTTATTAACGTCATTTCGTTGCTTTGACACCTCTGATTCAAACATACCAACGCTTATAAAAATCACTCTCCCATGTCTTTTTAAAAGCAGACGAAGTTAATGCTCAAACTTAGAAGGTATTGCCCCTGAAAAATCCACTCGAGCCACCTTAATAGTAACTTTTATGTCTTCCGATTTTTTTTCTACCAAAAAAACCGTTTGTATTGTTGTTTTATTTAGCTCCTCTAGCCGTGTGGGAGATAGCCTTGCTTACACTTGGCATTCTGTCATTGGTTGGCTTGGTGATTATAGTGATCACGGTTTGGTGGTGTTACCGCTGGAGACAAAGACAGAAAGCTAGTGAGACGGTAAAAATGGATGTAGCAGCTGGCTATGAAGAAAATAAAACAATAGAGGAACAAGGAAGAGAAAAGGAACAAAAGGGAGATGAGGAGAGACCTAAATATATAAAGCATGTGAAAGTTGGTTCACTGGAAGAGTCACCGAAAGCAAACTGTAGAGGAACCTTGGTGTAGTCTAGATAAAGCAGAAAGACGAAACGGGCAAGTAATTGTACGCCCCTAAGAGGAAAGAGTCAAAAGAGCTCCTTTTCCAGTGATGAGTCGGACATCCAGTTAGAAAAAGAGATAAAAGATGTTGATGTCAAATGTATTACTGTAACCTTAGGTTTTCGGCTTGATACTTACGAAGTTGAATTTTTATGAGACTTTAAGTAGGAATTTGTAAACCTCTTTGTCGCGGGCTTTGTTCGTTTTGGGTCCATATGGACCCATGTATATTATTCTTCCTGGACCCATTAAGATTGCCATTTAAGCTGTTAAGAGGATAGAGCTTTCAAGTGGTACCTCATGTAGCAAATTTTGACCAATTCTGAGTTACAAACGAAAACAAGCAACATCTCGGGAAAAAATCCACTACCAATTCCGCTATTTATTTGCTACTCTTTGCAGTTTAAATTTCTCCCATTGTTGGGAAAGAAATCCAGCCAAAACTTTATGCGAAAGGCTAAGACCATAAAGTGGGCAAAAAAATCAAAATAGATTCGCAAAAGAAGTCCAAATTTTGGCTTATTCGCATGCGCGGGAAACAAAAATGCATCCAATTAGCAGAAAAATATGTCCCGAGTGTTAGAAATCTCTTTTTAGCCATTCCCATGCTCACTGGCCGAAAACAGGTTCAAAAAGGATGATTTGGTCCAAAATGCGGTTTTTCCCCCCTAAAAACTGGCTGACGGCAAAGGGTTAAAGGTGGACGCTTCACTTTTCAATTTGAGAAAGGCGGCATTCACGCCTGTAGCCGCCGGTCATTTGAAAGCTAAGTAACTTGTAATAGAAGCTAATCAAACTAATACTATGAAGAACTCGTGGATACGTTTTCAGAAAATAGAGAATACACAAATTAACGTCAGAAATGACTAACGAATGATATGTTGGCAAGCACGTGTAGTTTGATAATCATTTATTTAGTTGTCGCTTCTGCAGACAGAGCTTTCGGGGACGATCGGTCTACGTTTATTGTCGTTTTTATAACGGGGGCACTCGTTCGGCAGCGACTAATAACGAAGATGTCAACACCTGAAAGGGTGAGTGAGTGCTTTGAATACAATGTAACTGGGTAGTAACATATTTGCATATCTCAGTGGGAAAACGTGTTTAATGCTATCTTATGCCATGTAACCTCTACTCGAACACACCTATTCCAAGTGTCTAAAGTTAGGATACCAAGAAAACGGTTTATCAATAAAATTATATAAAGGATGTCGACGTAGAAAAAAACCTGTGTTTGGTCCTTTTATGTTTTTTTGTTTGGTTTTTTTTTTGGTTTCAGGTCTTTTCCAAAGTTGTTTCTTTGTGCATTTGGATATATTTTTCCAGAGCGTGTCCGCTTAGGGAGGATCACAGTTAAACGCCTTGTTTGTATTATATGTGAGCACTTTTCGTTGAAAATTTCGTCAAAATGTCATTCGATTTTAAAAATAAACCACTCATCCTGAAGTTCTTGCGCCACCTCTAATTTGTGTTGGGTGTTCTGTGCATTATTGGGTGTCCTGTGCAATTAATGAGGGAGTTATTTTTGAGATTGCATTTTCGTCGACACACATTTGCCTCGTTTTGAGGCGCTTGCTTACGTTTTGCATCACTTTGACG